AATGCTTAGCAATTACAACACATTACGGTAAATACAGTGTTATTGGCGACTTACATAGTTATCAGGGATTTCAGACATGCAATCGGAAGGCGTGGTTTTACGGCATTCACAGGCCATAGGATTTTCACGAAAGGTGATTGACTAGAGGCGTGAAAGCGATCTGCCGCAAGAAGTTCCGTACTTGGAGGTAATTTCAAAATTCACCTCAGACATTGGGTATGTTAAGGGCAGTAAAAATAAGGCAGCCGATGCCTTATCTCTTGCGTACGTAGACGCATTGGAACACCACCATTTTGAACCAGTAGAAATGGTGGAGTCGCGGGCGATAGATGAGGTTTTAAAACGCTTAGGAGGCAATGCAAACACCCCACCACGTCTTTGAGGAGTGATGCTCAGCGACTCTCTTCTCATTGCGTATGGTATACCCGATAGCAAGCCACTTCCGGGTGCATCTCCATCAATGAGGAGGTCAGTTCCCTCCAAGGTGCATGGCCTTTCTCACTCTGGTATTCTAGCCTTTGTTAACTTGATTACTGACTGATACATCTGGCCTAATATGAATCAAGATCTTTGACGGCGTCTCAGGGCTAGTTTGGCATGCCGGCGACTGGAAGTGCAGGGGCATATTCCTTCGCCTACTGGGGGATTTTACGCAGCAGACCGCAGATTCGACCATATTCATGCTGACATCGTTGGGCCACTACCTCCGTCAAAAGGATTCAACCAAGTTTTACGGCGTGCAGACGGACTTACGAGATGGCCAGTAGCGATGCCTCTGCATGTTACATCCACCGAAACAGTATAGAAAAATCATCTGACACTGGATTTCTTGTACTTGCTTAGTCGTCGGATCGCCTTTTTTCTCCTTCTGTCTTCCCTTCCAGATTCTGGTGGTCATCGCCAAACCCCCACTGCTGTACGCGTCCCTTTGCAACAAAGTGCCGACCCAAAAGCTAGACGAAGAAGTATCGACAGCTGGTCGTTACTGTTGTGATGCCCCAGTTTTGTACAAAACATTATTATCGATCCGAACATTTTAACGTGTTATTCCCACATCATTTTTACGGCATGGCTAATAGTCTATTTCTGCCCCCATTGTAATGTAATCCGCTGACTGGTTAACTTTTACTCTTACTATGCGGATTTCTCCAATTGCGGACAAGGTCATTTTTCATGTGTGTACCTATTCACGTGTTTTGAGACTGATTTTATTGCTATATTCTCGGGGTAATACACTCTCCCATCTGCCAGCTTCGGTCTTACTGTATTCGTCCTGGGGTTGCAATCAGTGACTCTTGCATACTAGGTTGGCTATCAGCTAAGCGCACGCATTATATTCGATTCAGAATATATATATATAACCGTTTGCGCTTCGAAACCATAACAATACCACGGAAACGAAAGAATCGCTGATACGAGGGAGAGAAGACGAATGTTATCGATAAAGTCAGCTGCAAGGACTGTCAACAGCCCCATGTTGGCCAATCCAGTCGTCGGACAGGTCAAAGTATCCATGAGCATCAACTTGAAGTGAAACGACACGATATATTTTCATTGATATTGATATGTGTGAATGAACGCAACCCAGACTTCAATCCTGGCAAAGTGGAGATGCTGAACAGGCCCGAACGACGATCGCTGTGCATCAGAGCAGTCTGGAGTGCACGTCTCTTTTTCAACATGTGTAGCGAGCAGACGTTGGCCTTGTTATCTGGGCATAACGGTGGTTTACGGAACATCATCACCATCAAGATTTTAGATTACAACTAACCGAGGCTTGTAGTGGAGGATCACGATCAAATTCCGTTTCAGAGGGGGTTGGAGGCAGTGAGGGGAGCGGATGGCGTTAATTCTGTTTCTTCACCTCACCTAGCACACTACATGCCAAGTAGGTAGTGGATTCCTCTCCTATGGATAGTTGTGAGGGACAGGACGGTCTGTAGTATAGATGAAGCCATGGAGTCGTTGAATGGTGTGGCCAAGACTTAGTTTGTACAGGGTGGTCAGCGGTGGAAGAGTCTTCGCGTTGATTTCTGGTTGGTGGCAGGCAAACTGCCGTCTTTACCGGTAACTCTTGTGGAACTTCCTGTTCGATTTTGACCAACATTACATCTTGTCTTTCTTTATTGGTAACAAAACATAGTGTTTGATGATTATATCAAGAGGATTACGCTAGTATCCTCAGTATAGAGACTATGATAATCACGGAGATGGTCAGTCACGTAAGCTCAGCGCGCTAGTCTGTGTATGGATACGTCGGCTTGCTATTAAAGCTTTTTGAGCTCCGCGGAGGCGTTAACAGATTTCGAAGTGAGACACATTATGGAAAGCAACCAAGGTTCAACAGCCGTGCCAATTGAGTTTGGCTATCATTTCCTCATCGGCACGTCTGATTGAAGGGTAGTGATCTACTGTAAAATACGGAAGGCATGAAAGCTGCCTATCATAGTTGTGTTGGGAGAGGTTGGTATCATCACTGCCGTTGTTAGACTCGGCTTGGAGACGTCTGGTCCCCTTGTTTAACTTGCCTCTGTCGGCCCGCCCGAAGCAGCATTGGTCGTTGGTCACCGAAGTCAAACAGTTGTTCATCTGCTGATGTCAACAAAAGATATGAGTTCCATTTCTGTAGAGGGTTACCAATGCCATTCAGCACCAGCGTCGTTCGCATAGCCGTTGGTTGCCGTCGCTAAACTCCCTTCGTTGGTTTTCTAAATTGTCATCGTGTGCGTATCACAGCCGTTGTGTGGCACGAACTTAGAACTGAGTGACTGGAATTCCTGTCGCCTAAGTGCCGAAACTTGTACCTGCGTGGAACTGTTTGATCGTCATTCCTCCTACCGTTCGTTGTTGTCTGTAGACAAATAAGTCGTCTAAATGGTTATATTTTGTTCAAGGCCGAAGCTTCGGTTTTTGGGAATCTTATGCTCAAGTCTGTCCCGGTTTGTTGAATCAACTTTGACAAGCGGATTGCGATTAATACTACGCAAGAAGTTATCTGTTAAGAAATGAACGGTCAAAGCCACTTAATGACACCCTACCTCTGAAGTTTGCTAGGTGCATGTGCAGAACCAATGGGAACGCTTAAATAATGTGGCTCGATTGAGTGAAGTGCTGATGCGCAATGGTCCTCACTGACACACAAGTGAGACTGGGTCCTCGAAGAGTGTGTGCTGAATGCTCGATCATCGGTCCCAAGCGGACGACGGTCAGAGTGGTTTTTACTGAATGAGAACTCGGAGCACCTTCAACGAAGTCCCCCCGTCCTTCGTTATTTTATTGTCTTCAATATATTCCGTAATTACTCTTAAGATGGCGCTTAGGTAAACAGCAGTGAATCAGCAAGTGACCGTGACTTATAAAGGCCAACTGCCTTCTGCTACCAATCAAGTGTTACTGTCTATGTGCATGGCACTGCAACTATGTGGTGTGACAGCCGGTTCATGCAGGGATTGAAAATTCGGGACGCGAGTTTATAGCGTTCACTCAGAAGATGTCAACGTGTAAGAAAGGCTTGAAGCAGGTGCTATGACGATAATAAACCATTAGCATTGTGCTGCACAGTTGATACTGGTGACTGCAAATATAACCTTGAGTGCATCGCGTGACTTTTGCATCGCTGTGCACCTGTGTCGAAGTAATCTTACCTTGATGCGCTTTCTTAAACTTATGAATCACTGGCTGAAGTGGACGTATGGCCGGAAACTTACGACTATTTAATCATAATATTCTCCTATTTTCAGCCAATGCCTTTGTGAAGCTGAACAGAGTGTCCAAAACACAATCAATGGAAAATGTACAACAACGCCATCTAGGCTACAAAAGTGGCAGACAGAGTTATCAGTCAGTTGGCCATTAAATTTGGACAGTGAGGTATGAGGGAACAACTGAGGAGTTGAAGTAATCGTAGGATTGTAATAAAATAAGCTGAAGAAACTAACATGTCTTCCTTTCTTCTACCGGTTATTACAAAATGAATGTCATGTGGTTATGAACGCATGCAGTGTCCGTTAATTCGGTTGGTGCTTTGCAGTATTTAGGACGGTAAGGCTCCAACATCATTCCCGTGCTACAATTGCGTCAAATATTTTCGCCCTATTTTAAGTTCTACCCTACGTTTTCTTCACATTCACCGTGTTTGTCCCATAAGGGTCTTGACTCCGAAACTATACTGTATTTCAGTGTCAGGAGGGCTTACTTTAAGTTATTGGTATCGATGCAACGATTGACTGGGCTAAACATGGTCGCTTTTGCAACGAATTTGGTCTTAGATCCTGACTGGTGAACCTCGCTGAAGCGGGGACCAGACATGGATATTGGTAGAAAGAATTTTGTACCCAATCCAATTGACACTCTTTATCAGCCGTCCTCGGGCTGTATGGAACATGGCTGTATGCATCTCTACACACTAGCACCTAGGAAAAAGTGAAGCTCTACGTGTGCGTCTTGACGATTATCTTCGTAAAATCTACAAAGCACTCAGACCAATCGGAAAGCTAATGTCAATTTCATATGGATATGATAACCTGGTTTGAATGACATCTGACAGTGCATGCCACGTCCATTGTCCTGCAGGGTCATTAGAACAAAGGAAGCATGATCAGCTGCCAGTGGAATGTACTATTGACAGTAGTTTTTAAAAGCTTATTGCCTATTTATCTTTCAAGCTGTGTAGGCTGTATTGGTAGACAGATTTACTTCAAACCAAGGCTGGTGATAACACCTATAGAGCGCCAACATAACTCCGAAATGTCCAGTGCAAGCAGTCTCACCATACTTCGAAGTTATCAGATGAGTACAGAAAACATCCACCACGTCGATGAGTCGTCTGTGGATTTTCTAAGTAACTTCACTATCGGAATTTCTTACAGACAAGTTTACGTTGAATGAAAAAGGTGATCCAGAGGCAATAGGAAGAGGTTAATGTTCCTTGTTAAAGGCACGTCTTTTTATTGGTCGTTAAGGCATTGCTTATTTAACACCGTGTTTCTACGCGCTACGTTAATGTATTTTGTTAGTTGTGCATTTTCAAAAGCAACTCCAAGCCGTAGTAACGTTTGCTTATGCGGGAGTCTACTTGTTTTCTGAAGGAATCCACAATTTCAGATGTCATATCAACAATCACCAGTGATGATGAATCTTCTAGTTCCCTCGAGGATGACAGCACAGAACTACTAGCACAACTCTATCTGGATAAGTCATCTGATGAAAATGATCATTTCTCTTCAAATGATAGTGAGCATCACTCATCATCTCTAAGGTAATTTAAAACAATTCACCTTAGTTTTAGTCACGATACAAGCATTTTTGATCACTCGCTAGGTGAAAAATCACAAACAGCCTCACGGCATTATCATGAATCTAAACTCATAACACGGAAAGGATCGTCTGGAGTCAAACGCGTATTCGTTTCTCATTGTGTGAGCCCACGTTTTGGTTTGGCCAGGAAAACTCCTTTCAGTGTGCTAACAAAAAACAAGAACAACTTTAGTTCCATGCTTCATGAAAATTGTGTAGATGGGTTCTTCAGAGAGAGGTGCAAGTCATGTGACTTTTTGAAAGTAAGTCATCCAAAAAGACAATTTCACAGTTTTTGACTGGATGATATTACATTTCTTCGCTACTTAAACCTGTCGAATATAAGAAGTAGAAAAAGATTTACCTTATTTATTCTGTTCAGCATTCAGGACAGTAGATTAGTCCAGACCATAGTATTTCTTGCTTTAAAAGTAAAAATATGGTTTTATTTTCAGTACAGCTTGCTCAAATGAGAAGACATTAGGGTGGTGGGAAAACATTCCTATTCCGAGTGTGTTCGAGCGCAGTACTAGAAGTGTCTTGTGGCAAAAATAAAAATAACCAAAAATACAGGAAGAGAAGAGATAATACGTACTAGATTGCGCTAAGCTCAGTAATAAAGTAAGGCCAACACTGTAATGATGTAGACATGCGGTGCATATTTCACGGGGAAGCTTGGACAGACCTTTCATTAAATTACTATCTGTGGTTTGGACATACTAAAATATGTCTTTGTAAGTCATATGCTGCCTACTGACTTAAGGAAATTTGAAAACCGGCAAGAGAGTGGAACGATTTGGCATACACACGCTCTTCATAGTGTCTTCAATATCGTAGATTCACAAACAATGTCGTACACTAAACATTTTCATGGTAACTGAGATTCGATGCACATAGGTTTTCAGGTTATTACTTACAGTAAACGTGAATATTTTGTTTCTGGAAATCGAGATAGTAATCTCCCATGGGTGTATTGGTGCAGTGTTACTGAAATCGATTTCCAGACTCTAACTTTTAATCATACTACCGGTTCATTCAGATCTACATGTAGCACTCATTTAATTTTGCCGTTGCGGATGAGTGCTAACACATTTACGTCATCAGGAAATGAGAGCATAGTCGATTTTTAGAAATTTATTGACACAGACAAGAAGTTAAAATATGAAATTACACACCTCTTCTACACGTTTCTACTCACTTATTTCTCATTCGTCAAAACATGTGCACCATGGTGGAAAGTAACTTCATTTTAGTTGATTAATTACATGTATCACGCAGTGAAACAGTATTGTTTTCCAGATTGCGTTTCCAACACAATTTGTTGTACATAGCCATATCAAGATAACTTCACAACTTTGAGAAATCCTCTACATAGTCATGATTTCCTGGCTTCCTTTGTGATTTAGGTAGTCGGATTTCCCATAAATCCAGAACAGATGTTGAGTCATTCCTGTTGCATGTATTTGGTGTTGATTCGATAAACAATGATTCAGCTATCAGTCTCTCCCTCCATCCCCCTAGGTTAGTCTTAAGAGTTTTCACTCTGTCCCATCCTACTCTATGGTCGTGTATATTTGTAGGTGTAGCTATGGCAGAGCTTTTTTCTAATTTCATACCTTACTAAGATCTACCAGTTTTGATCTAGCTGGGTGTTTGTGCTCGGATAGCCTAATTGACTCTGGTCGACTACGTTGACCTATGTATTTAACCTCGCAATCGTTGCAAGGGAGTTGGTAAACTTAATTATTCTGCCTGATTAAATTAATAAGATCTTTTAACCTGCAGAGCTTATTTTTAAGTTAGTATGTAGGTTTAAATGTCACTCCAGTTAAAGCCAGCCTTATCGAGAATCCTACGTAATGTCTCTGATGTACCTTTTTGTATGATGACTCTGTAAGTGTTTTAAATTCTCTCTTCACAATATTGCCACTATTATTATTACTACTAAAAAACTTGAATGTCTTAAATAAATGCATGGGATCCCTAGAGAAGCCAGATCCATAAACCATCGTATATTCAATATTCATGGTCTTTAAAATCAAATCACTTTAAAACATCTAATTCTACGTACTTCAGTCTCAACGGAGAAGGTCAAAGCAGCGATGTATCGTTTCAGTAAACTCTATTTAAAAGGAGAAATCCATAGAATAGTCATAAGGTTGCACACTATCCCTAGGTATATTGAAGAACTAAAATGTAAACTCATGCAAATAGTTAGTTAAAGAGATTGTAAACCTCCTCCTTGACAACCTCAACAAAGCGAGATCAGCTGCCTTCAGAAAATCCAAGAATGCTCATATAAAGAAGCACAACAAGCTAATGGAAGGAAAGTATACAGTAGAGAATAATGAGATTCCCAATAGCACACCACCAGTCAACGACAAAACAAAGTGGATTATCAATCTCTCAATTAGGGTTTTAAACTTAACAGAAGTAAAGGTGCTGAAGAAGGGGCTTAACTTCAATGTAGCAGTTAATAAATTGAAACTTGAAGATATCATTCCTTAAAGTGAAATGACACAAAGTTCAGTAGATAAGGCAGTGACAGATGAAGTCAGAGCACGTTGTACTCTAACATTTAAGCAATAGAAGAAAACTCATCAGAGTTTATGAAAAGCAGAAAGAGAAGATTTGAAGAACCTTCAGAATGACAACAGTATAGTAATTGCTAAATCAAACAAAGGCAACTCAACAGTAGTGTTAAACAAATCTGATTATGTCCAGAAAGTAAAGGAACATATACAAACAGGACAATAGGAAGAAAGCAAGAAACCAACAGACATTATTATGAATGAGGTTGAAAAACTAGGGTGAATCTAATGGGCCGAATGAACCTGTTTTTAGGTTAGCCAAAATGGTTTAATTTAGTACCGAAAGCTAATAATCCTAGCAGGATTTATGCTAATATTAAAATTCATAATGCAGGTTATCCTATTAGCCTAATAGACTTTAGAAATACTCCTACTTGTGACTTCTCTGAATATCTGGCGATGGTACTGGGTTTAATTAAGAACCTTTCTAAACCGAGACTTACTAACCCACATGACTTGTAGCATAGATTAGATGACATGCATTTAGATGATAACGAAGAAACTGGTTAGTTTTGATGTAATTAGTTTGTTGACTAAGATATCGATTGGTATGGCTCTGAAAATAGTTAGAAATGAGCTCAATAATGATTTTGAACTTACAGTACGAGCTTAGGTACCAGTAGATGGTGTCATGTTAAGAGTACAGCTATGATTAGCTTTTAAAATCTAAGTTTCAGAATAAAACATGCAAAAGCAGAAGTTGCCATGGGATCACCAGTATTCTCTATCATGATTGACATACTTATGGATAGTTGGGGACGGATGGCCATTGAGATACTTAGTCCGGCTCCAGAAGTATGGTTTCTATGTGTAGACGAAACGTTTACAGTATTGAAATCGGAGCCCATACATAGTTTATTTACACACATAAGTTCAGTATTCAAAGCGATCCAGTTTACCCTGAATTACGAAATAGTGAAGGGGAATTAGCGATGTTGGATTGCAGAATGAAAACAAATACAAGATGGGGGGGGGGTGTTAACACTAGTGTCTACAGATAACCTTCACAGCCAAATCGTCTCATCCTATGTTAGTTAAAGTTGGCCTCATGAAATGTTTAAGTAACAGGGCCAGAAAACTTACTAGTAAAACAGAAAATCTGAGACAAGCCAGAGGCATTAAGGACACTTTATTCATCAACAAATACCCTCTTAAATTAATTGATAAGTTCCTTAGAAATCTGAACGAAGAATATTCTTTCCCATAAACTCTTTTAGGTTGTACATTTGGGAGGTGCATTTTTACAACGTGAAAACAATCCATGTTAGGGGCAGGTACATTTTAAAAATGGAAGGAGATTTAGGGATTATAAGGAAATCGATTTGTCTCTTTTAAATGAGTCAATATTAGGTTGATACATATACAGAAGAATGATATGACGACGAACAAAAAGATAACGAATGAGATGACAGGAGTGGTCTTTAGTTTACTGAAGGCCAAGGGAGAAGTAACGATTGGACATGTTCTTTCTAAATGCAGAGTTCAGGTATGATCAATCTTATTGTGACAGTATCCGGTACATCGAGCAGGTGTTGGCGAGCTACATGAGGTGTCGTTTTTGGGATTCAGTGAATGACATTGAAAGCTTTATTAGCATTTATGTGATGCTCTGTATCGTCTAGATGCACTATAACTGAACTTTTACCACTTTCACTTCGCCCTTTCCAAGCCGAGCTGGTAAATGCTCTCGTATCCGGAGACGCACCTGCTTAATCGTACGCCCTGTGAAACTTGTTCCACAGAAACAATTAAATTGATATATACAAGATGAAGAGCTAAGGTTAGATAGGCTATACTTTAGTCTTGGATTGAGCGTTGGCTGACTTTTGAAAGATATGAAAAGCCAACCAGGATAAAACTTGCTATTGACTACTCTAGCTAGGCGTTTTGATAGGATGTCACTTGCGGCATCTCCCTTGAACTGTAGTCGCAGAAACAAAGGCTTCTTCCACACTATCATCAGTTCTTGTTTAGGACCAATGTAGTTGATGTTAGCTTTGATGAACTTATCCGAATATCCGTTCTCACTTAGAATATCACGGATACACAGTAGTTCTTTTTCCACACACTCCCTGGAACAAATCAATCTTACTCTAAAAGCCAGGCACCTGATTATATTAAGTTTGTAACTCATTGGTACGAAGGTGAGAAAGTCCGTATACTATTCCTGAGACTTTAGTTTTCTATATATACTCCCCAGTATACAGCCATCTTTGTTTCTTGTCATTAGCATATCAAGAAAATGCATCGAATCATTGATTTCATTTTCGTATGTAAACTGAATTGAAGGATGTGCGCTATTGAAATGGTTCAAAATAGAATTAATACATGTGCACCTATCAAAGACTAACAAAGTATCATCCATGTATCGACAGCATAATTCTATATTAGAAATTTGATCTTTCAAATGACCATTTTCTAATTTTGCTAAAATTATGTCTACAAATATTGGTCCCAATGAAGATCCCATAACCACTCTTTCAACTTGTCTGTACAAATTACTGTTGAAGATGAACTGGACATTCATTGCATATTTTAGCAATAGTTCTTTCAAATTTATTATCGAGATGCCAGTGTCTAATTTTCTTTCAAATAATTGTTCACAAATATAATCGATGATTTCCATTGGAGAGACGTTTGTAAACAAAGATGCAACATCTAGGGGTCCAATGCATTTATTTAAGACATTCAAGTTTTTTAGTAGTAATAATAATAGTGGCAATATTGTGAAGAGAGAATTTAAAACACTTACAGAGTCATCATACAAAAAAGGTACATCAGAGACATTACGTAGGATTCTCGATAAGGCTGGCTTTAACTGGAGTGACATTTAAACCTACATACTAACTTAAAAATAAGCTCTGCAGGTTAAAAGATCTTATTAATTTAATCAGGCAGAATAATTAAGTTTACCAACTCCCTTGCAACGATTGCGAGGTTAAATACATAGGTCAACGTAGTCGACCAGAGTCAATTAGGCTATCCGAGCACAAACACCCAGCTAGATCAAAACTGGTAGATCTTAGTAAGGTATGAAATTAGAAAAAAGCTCTGCCATAGCTACACCTACAAATATACACGACCATAGAGTAGGATGGGACAGAGTGAAAACTCTTAAGACTAACCTAGGGGGATGGAGGGAGAGACTGATAGTTGAATCATTATTTATCGAATCAACACCAAATACATGCAACAGGAATGACTCAACATCTGTTCTGGATTTATGGGAAATCCGACTACCTAAATCACAAAGGAAGCCAGGAAATCATGACTATGTAGAGGATTTCTCAAAGTTGTGAAGTTATCTTGATATGGCTATGTACAACAAATTGTGTTGGAAACGCAATCTGGAAAACAATACTGTTTCACTGCGTGATACATCTACTTAATCAACTGAAATAGAATTATTAATGCTTAGGAAGCAAAATATAACGGAACGTAACTCTGTGGATGAATTTCAGGATTCACTTGAAACTGAAAATTTTACGAAAGCATTGTAAGTTAATCAATCAATTTAGGGGTTAATAAATTATTTTACTTACTAACTCCTAGATTAGCGTTAGTTTGTTTTCGAGCTTCCAAATCTGGATTCAAGCGTTTAAATATAGTTACTTAAACAGGACTAAGAAGGTTTGGATTATTTCATATTGACACTATTTTGAATAATTATAATGCATATCCTGCACAATTGAAATGTTTGCATCTCTCTATGGTAGAATTTTCGGAACATGTTCAAGCCCTCTATCGTAAGTCCTTCTTTGTGTTCCCGCAGCGCAACCTCTTAGGTTGATACATATTCATTAGTAAACACAATTGAAGGTAACATTTCAGGAGCACCTGTCCATTTCGGGTATATTAGTGATCAACATGTTTGAAACAGAGGAATTTACTTTGCAGCAGGGTATGTTTTGGCCATTAAAGTGCTGAGGTAAATGAAGACTAGTTTCTTAGAGACTTGGATTTTCCCATTTTCATTACATTCGTCTTAACCACATATATTGACAAAGCCTTGTGGTTATACATTTTTTTGGGCATTTTTCAAGTAACAATAGTTCCTCTCTCATTTTATACGCTGAGCATATTTTTTGTGCACCACGGGATGGTGTCTTGACCAGTACTCGTTTATATTTTGGTTGGATAGAAACTGTTGAAGTCAAAGTAGATGTAATCTTATATCGTTATTTTTTTTGTTTTTAGCTTTATTGGTTCATTTTCATGAAATAATTATGTAGTCCGCTAGCCTGACAAGTAGGTGCTTTATAGTTTCTAGACTGTAGCTCAAGTAGGCTTAAGTAAGTGAAAAGGGATGTGAACGCTGAACCTGTTGCTTGAAATCCAAGTGATTTGGTGTTTACTACGTCAGATCTCCATTAATACTAATTTAAGGTAACCAACCTGTATAAATAAGGTGATGGTTTCAATTGGTGCCTACTGATGTTAATTGTTCAATTTCATGGTTTCGTTTCTTATGAAACAAGCCAAGTTAGAGGCAAATACATTTTCAACATGAAGCGAGAATTAGGGACTGCAAGGAAGTTGGCTTTTTTAGAATTTCAACATTAAGGTGACACATACAGATGAAGAATGTAATGGTAAACAAAAAGACAACGAATGAAAAACACAGAAGTGACCCTTGGTTTACTGAAGGCCAAGGGAGGAATAACGTTTGAAATGATCTTTCTGAATGCACAGTTCAGGTTTGATCTTATTGCTCCAAGCTCAGTTGTGCTGAGCGGGCTTTGGGGGGCTACACGTGGTATTGTTTATGGTACATGCTGTATGACATTAAAAGCTTTACTATCTATATAATGTCCTGTGTTTACTAAATGTGCTAGGATGGAACTTTCCACTACTCTTACTTCACCTTTTCCAAATCAATTCGGTAAACGCTCTCGTATCCAGAGATGCACCTGCTTAATCATACTCTTCATGTAACTTGTTCCACAGGAACAGCTAAATTGATATATACAGGATGAAGAGCTAAGGTTAGGTAGGCTATCATCTAGTCTGGGATTCACCATTGGATCACTACTGAAAGACATACGAAGACAACCAGCATAAAACTTGCTATTGACTACTCTAGCTAGGCGTTTTGATAGGATGTCACTTGTTGCGTTTCACGTGAATTGTAGACGCAGAAAAGAAGGCTTCTACTCTACTGTCATCAATTCTCCTTTAGGGCCACTGTACGTTATCAGTATTTCATCTCTGAATGAAGTAGAATAAATTTGTTATTTCATTTCAGCATAAACACCTTCCTGTGTATTCACAATTGATTACACTGATAACTAAGAATTTAACTGATTGAAAATCATAATTAGGATATCCGTTGTTATGAGGCATCATAAGCTGATGTGATTCACTACTGTATCAAGTGAGTATTCATATACCATCCTTACTGATAAATGTCAAGTCTTACTAACCACACCAAAATAGTGATGAGTTTCTAATACTTCAAAGATAATACTACTGACTAGTGCTGCATTAGTTAGGCTCGGATATCTGATGAAGTATGAAATTCTTTGACATTCCGTGAACATCTTGTTGTTTGATTTTTATGAGAATTAGAGCTATATTTTATGGTTTCTAACCATCTGATATTTCTTATAAGTCATTCCATGGGAATTCAGCTATGATAAATGCTGCGTAAGGTTTCATAAATACTTTAGTTTTGGAACAGTTGGTTGACCCATTTCATGATATTATGTAGAACTTTGTTAATTCAGATAATTTATCACTTATCACAAATACAGAGCTGAACAACATGAATAGTCAAAAACCACTCACTTTGATCTATGTATCGTTCTAAGCATATCAAACTGACCGAAACAATAGATAGCGGTTCCTTGCGTTTGGGATCATGCTCAATAGTTATATAACAAGTCAACTAAAATGAGGATTTGGTGTTCAAAGCACTGGGATGGGATATTAGGTTGTCGAAGTCTGCAGTTCAGCGTGGATGTTCTTCATAACTGTTTATAATATTCAGTAGGATATTTTGCCTATTCAAGATACATCTATGCTAGCGATTACACTCTGTGTGTTCTTGTCTAAGTAGTTTGCAATGGAAAACCTATTAAGAACGATTGTGGGTAGTTGAACAAAAATACTCGTCATGAGAAATGTTAGCATGGGTCATACAGTCTGTACAGAGTTTACAAATTGATAGTCCCTTCCGAGTAATCGTGTAATTATTGTCTTTTTTTTATATAGATTGGGAAAAAAGGTTCTTTACCATCTGGACTATGTGAATGTGTTTGTTCTGCTTGTCCTACTTCTACTATGTCAAAATACGGCAAACATAAAATCGGGTAGGTAATAAAGTCTACAAATTTCACCTGAAGAATTTGTTTGAACTTTATACGTTCCTCTCACATAGGCAGTTTGAACTTCATTAGAAAGCGTTATTCGTAAAAAAGTACGGCAAGATCTAGTCTTTTTGTGTTCCATCCTAAAAGATGAATAGGATATATAGCTGATCTTTTTTATAATTAGTTATCGTTGTTATCTGTGTTACCATTGTTTAGACTGACGAAACAAACGATTTATTTCTAAGATAAATTTGAAAAAACAGTAAAATAAATGCAGCAGTTTGTTTGTGTCAGAGGATTCTGATTTGTTTTTTACTGTTTGATTCAGTAACTCAATGTGTGGTGATCGTCTGATTGTGTGGGACTGTGATATATTCACCTATACACTCAATTTTCAGTCAAGGAGTGGCGGCTTTGAATTCTACATCATTTCCTTCGACGTAGGGAAGACAGTTAATATCATTAACCCTCATTTAGAAAGGCGTAGCTGACAGCCAAGTGCATGAACCTTCAGAAGCTGTTATTCTCATGAAATGAGATTGTATGATATATTCTTAGAATTATTAAAATGGTTACAAATAGAAAATTGCATTGAGATTTTTGTTTCGAAAGGCGAGGTTGATTTCTCATATGGTCACTTACATAATTTGTGAGGAGTTTATTAACTTCTATCTTATTGTGGTGGACTGGATGATGCAACAAACTGTGGGAAGCGAGAAGATGGGCATACGCTGGCTGGATCGTTTATAAGACCCTAGAAGATTTGGATTTCGCAGATGATTTATGTATAATGCCGCACAAGCTTGAAGATGTACAGGCAAAAACCAACAGGTTGACAGAAGAGACGAGGCAGTGAAGACAGGACTTCCTTCAGGTGAATGTAGAGAAGACAGGTAATGAAGATACCAACCGACAACAACAACAGCAACAACAAAAACAAGCACCAATCACCATGAACGGGAGAAATCCAAGGGAAGTTGTCTCTTTCACCTACCTAGGCAAGGCAGCACCGTTTTAACTACAGGCGGCGGCACAGACAAGGATGTCAAAGGCAGAATCAGAAAGACAGCAAGACAGGCCTTCCTGCATTAATCTGAAATAATCAGTATGGAGATCTACTGTACTGCACTGCACTGCACTGCACTCAGCATAAAGCGTGAACAAGATCCGGATTTTCTACAATAATGTCAGTCAAGTAAGTCAGTGCTTCTATTTGATGGCTGAGAGACTTGGCGCGTGACAAAAGCGTTTCCGACAAACTATAGACATTCATCAACAGCTGGTGCCTACGCCCACTCGAGACTGAAGATCAGATGGCCAGGATAATGAGAATAAGCAAGAAGGAACTCTGGTTGACTGGCAACCAACCAACCAAGAAGCTATCACTCAACAAATATGCAGAAGGAAGTGTTGATGGATTGGATTGGGCATACACTGAGAATGAAGACGGTTTGGGGATATGACGCGCTATGCCAGGCCGTTGAGTGGAAGGTGAAGGGGAAACGACGAGTTGGGCGTCTGGGGTGAGGATGACATGGAGGAGATGGTGTGAGGAAGAAATGAAAGCTTGTGGGCAGTGGTGGAGCCAGGTTGAAAAGACTACAGAGAAGAGTGAGCAATGGGAGCGTGCCATTGAAGCTCTATATTCCACTAGGAACCCAAGGGGCAAATAATAATAACAATAATGATAATAACTTCTGGATAATTTTTTCTCCATCAAAAGCAGGGAGAGAATTGGAAGGTTACTTCCTTCTACTTTAAGAATATTCATTGATGCCTACTAGTGACCCTATTGGCGATGAAACTTAGGACTATTAAGTCTTGTGATGAACACCTGACCATTCTTTCACTTTGTGACTCAGCATAATTATTACTGAATGTCAGTGGTTGGTGCTACTCACTTATGACCTGACTCACCGCATAGATCACAAGTACTTATAAGGACAACAGGAAATCGATCATGTAACAAATCATCGCTGAACAATATGCTTTTTTGATAGCGTGTTGACATAATCTAGAGAACTAGTGAAGACTAAGGAGTATTGAAGCAGTTATTTCCGCCTTGTTCTTTCCCCTCAATAGTGCATGGAAGAAGTTCATCCAAACTGATCAATTAACATGTTTATTATGCACGTTTTGATTAGACTAAACTCAAAAGGAGAACAATGAGATAAACTGAGTTCGAATTCATCTCGATTGGTAGTCTTTGTAAGATATTTTATCCGATATATATATTTTGTCCATTAGTACTAGTACATTCGTTAGGACTTAACAGTGGTCAGTAAATGCTACCTTGTGATTTGAACATATTGATTTCCGAAACAAGCCACCTATCTTCTTTGATTGGGTTGTGCGTGTGTGTGTTATGTGACTAGTTTTTCAGCAGTTACAATTTACGAAATATATGAGTTAGAGAACCATTAGAACTTGGGAAGCTAAGAATCAAAATTTTCTTTGATTTATAAGCTCTTCAGCTAATAACACCTATGGTCTTAAATGAAATACAGTTTATAACCGTCAAATCTCATGTTAAGCAACTTGACGTGTGTCGATAATAAGACGGATACCGGTCAATAACATTGGATGATGGTTATAACACACCACTAAACGATAGTAGTTGAAGAATGCGAACCAACATTAACACATTTCTTGCAAAACATGACAATCCTATGCTGGATCACGTCTGCGATTTTCAACTCACTTTACCGTAGAGTAATCAACTAAGAAGAACAAATATTCATGTATTCCCTGTTGAATAGCAAAATCTGTTATTTTGAACTATTATCTTTACTGGTTAGCAATGATTTCTTTGAGTCTTCGTTAATAATCGATATTTAAAATAAAAACTGAGTCATATGTTCTAATGATGAGATAATCAAACTTATTTTCCCTCGATACAACTTTAGAACTCCAGTGAGGTACACAAAAGCATCACCAGAAACAGATTATCATATTGACAAGTTGAAAAGAAAAATATCCTCAAATGAATATACTACTATCAGAAATAAACATCCATGTAATCAAGATTCATCAAAATTATCACCTAATCATTGTGATTCACCTAGCGCTGATTTATATGATATCACAGAATGTTTAATTAGTGAAAGTGTTCGTGATAACTTATTGCATAATAAACATGATTCTTTATTAAAGAAAGCATCGATTAATCAAGAAGTCAATAAAATGAAAGAAGACAACAATGAAATTATGAATGAAGTTAAAAATTTACAAGATCTAGATGAGAAACTTTCAGCTTGGGCATGTTGGCTGTTAGAGAAAGAGGAACAAAAGCGAAAACAAAAGAAGGAATTAAAAAAGAAACAGGTAACTATTGATAGGTAACTAGTATAGTTGGTGATGATATAAAATCAAGATTTAATTAGATTGTTTACCTAAAAGATAATATTCAACAGAAAAAACACATTGAAAATGGATTCATTAATTGTTTCATTTTAATCCAGATCTCTTCAGAGACTCTATTTATTCACATTGTTCTGGGATAGATCTTAGAATCTTAATTTCTCGGCCTCGAAAAGCTGTTGCTAAGCCGTAGGAGTAGAAGACAACAGTCAGCGTTTTCTGGCTTAGAAACACTTGTGATGCGATGGTAGAAATGTTTTCAAATATTATCGGATAGTGTCTTCTTTTACTTGATAATAATAATGATCGCTTTATTCGTAACAATATATGTGATAGATATCATTATTATTTTTCCCTTGGGTTCCTAGTGGAATATAGAGTTTCAGTAGCACGCCTCCATTGCTCGCTCTTCTCTGTAGTCTTTTCAACCTGGCTCCACCACTGCCCACAAGCTTTCATTTCTTCCTCACACCATCTCCTCCATGTCATCCTCACCCCAGACGCCCAACTCGTCGTTTCCCCTTCACCTTCCACTCAACGGCCTGGCATAGCGCGTCATATCCCCAAACCGTCTTCATTCTCAGTGTATGCCCAATCCAATCCATCAACACTTCCTTCTGCATATTTGTTGAGTGATAGCTTCTTGGTTGGTTGGTTGCCAGTCAACCAGAGTTCCTTCTTGCTTATTCTCATTATCCTGGCCATCTGATCTTCAGTCTCGAGTGGGCATAGGCGGCAGCTGTTGATAAATATCTGTAGTTTGTTGAAAATGCTTTTCGTGACGCGCCAAGTTTCTGAACCGTATAGTAGCACTGACTTGACATTGGTGTTAAAAATCCAGATCTTGTTCTTTGTGCTGAATGTAGTAGATCTCCACACTGATTATTTCAGATTAATGCAGGAAGGCCTGCCTTACTATCTTTCCGATCCTGGTTGGTTTTGACATCATTGTCTGTACCGCTGTCTGTAGTTGAAATGATGCTGCCTGGGAAGGTATGTGAAAGAGACTACTCTCTTCAGGTTTGTCCCGTTAATGGTGACTAGTGCTTGTTGTTCATGCTGTTGTTGGGTGGGCATCTTCATCACCTCTGTCTTCTCTACATTCACTTGAAGTCCAGTTTTTCGCTGCCTGTGATAGGTATATTATAGAATATTTCAACAAACACGCTGCCTGTACAATATTTTTACAAGAAATAATTATTGCGTCTCACTAGTTTTACTAATACCGGTATTTAAGGCACTAATGTGAGACGGGAGTAACTGGTGTTACATTAGCATCTGGTTTGGGCTCAGGGATGATTACAAAATCGAGTGTAATTATGGTGGTGGTAGTTACATTAGCCAGAACAGAAATCTGCAATTCCATGAAGGCGTTCTAGGAAAAGTTCTGTACTATATCTTTGAACATTTATATGTCCGTTTCCATTCCACATAACGTTTTTTCTTTGTTTCGTTCTTAGCATGAGAAACAAAAGTTTGAAAATATTTTAAAAAGGTATGGGAGTACGTGATACGTTTAGAAGACATATTTCATCTCTGATAAGAGTTACTAACACAGAGTGTAGTATTATTATCGGAAGAACGTTTTGGATACTTGGTGGTTTTTTATTTCACCGCAGAGTACATTGAAGTTGCCTTCTGTTAAAGGATTCCTGACCAAGACGGAACTCATTTCTAATGCTATCTGTTTTGAATTGATTATTCGAATTTTTTTAGTTTCTTCATGGGGATTGTCTTTAAATAATGACTGTTGAGAATTAGCTTGGTTCTAAAGTAGTTTACGTTTTGAAATACTTTATTGTTCTTTCGATTCATGTTTAGTATTTCTGTTGTCCTTGCTTTGAATTGTAATAATTTAGATAGCTTTTAGAATTTATGGAATTCAAGAAATTATTTCTGTACAGTTTTGGTTTTACCTACGATATAATTAACTCTTGTTACATACAACTCAGCGTCTGAATTCATATTCATTGTTGTGAGCATAATTTTCCATATAGATACTCATCTATTGATAATCTTGCTTCTACCGTCATTATTCCATTTACTGGATTATTCAATTGCTTAAGTCACCTTTGGCAACTAATTTCTGCTGTAGTATACCGTGTGGATATATCTGGATATTAAATGTTGACCATATTTTATGGTTTTTGGATGTTATATGTAACAGTAACAGACTGATTTCTAGCGTTAATTTAACACTGAATGGTTGTAGTCAATCGAATACTTGGTGATGGCTCTAGAATTTACTGACTTAGTATACTTCACTGGTGACTGTTCCTAAATCTTAGCTGAGAGGAGAGAAATGCACCGAACTGTATCGAACCTTATCAAAAATCACTCGTTAGTTTTGAACGAAGGATGTCATCAAGATAGCATAGTTATAATCTAACCATGATGTAACAGATAATCAGTCCAAATTAACACAAGGGTTATTCAGTAGTTCATAAATACTTACCGACATATGTAAGTTTGGACTGCGGCCGGATTCGAACCAGCGACCACCGGATTTCCGACCCGAGGCTCTAACAACTAAGCTACGAGATCCAATTGACGACCAGATTTTTATTTCCTTCCAATCACCAAGGGTTTTGCCCGACTACCATGTGAATTCTTATCGCGTTACTATCGCTTGATCATATTCACACTGGCTGCCTAGTCAGGACTTCTTATCCCAATCCCAATCTAACTGAATTAGAGAGGTGGTCACTGGTTGGAATCCGGCCGCAATCCAAATTTTCATTTCACCTTCAATCACCACCCAGTATCAATACTAGTCTGCTCAACAACAGCTATCTCAGATAGTTGAAATAATATGTAAGTTTGCCATTTCACTAGCTATGACCTAGTGTCACAATACATTTATTTTCGATTCTGGAATTAATAGAGGTATTCTGTTGAATTCTATCACCAAAGTGTTGTTTCTTCATGAATCCCTGAAACGAAAATTAGTCAATATTTATCATAAATTATTGTTAACTTGATTGGCATTCTCTTGGATTTGAAGACTTTTCGATAGAGAATAAGGTTTTTTTGTACGTAATAATCTGAGTAGTTAATTTATCATATTTGGAATTTACAATAGTTCGTTTAATATCAGATGAACTTCACTTAAAGTCTATAATTTGTTACTTTAAATACTTTAAGTCCTTGTAAATTTGTTTCAATGTCAAAATATCAGACAGAATGATAAACTGAAAGAAAATATACCCTTCAATAGTTTAATGGATGTCTTATAATGTTCATCTGAACAAAGAGGATAGATGTTTCATCCTTTTTAGACCTCATCAAGGGGATACGTTTATATCTCTATGTTTTGATGTTTACACCAAAACTGAAAATCGATAAAACTCACTTTAAACAAAGAAAATATTCTCCTTATTACTTCAATTTAATTTATCCTACTGTTGATTTATCGGACTAAATTGATTGGTTATTGTGAAGATGCCATCGAGACTTCTATAGAAGAAGCTTATACATGAATAAAGACTGATTATTTCACTCCTGTAAATCAAACAGCAAGAAATTACAAGCTCCGATAACAAAAGGTCATATTTTTTAATTCAAAGGAAAGCTTTAGGTATACTTTTTCTTACAGTATGTGTTAAATAAAATGTTATTATTGTGGGAACTCATTATCCTTGAAAATTCTCATAGTAACATTTTTGATAAAGTGTTTTACATTGAATAGATACATGCTTTTTAAAGGTTGAACTTGATGAAACTTTTCTGAAAAAATATATCCCCTCAAATCAATTCTCTACTTCAATGAATTCTCACAACTTCACAACCAGTAAACTATGCATTATATATCTAGTACACATTTGTAAGAGGAAATGCTCTTATCATTTTTTCTATTATGAATTATAATGTCTGGTTGTTGATATTCATAAGAATTTTCTGTTAAAGGGATTAATTTTTGTGTTTTAAAGGTATATTTAAGTGTTTTATACTGGTATTGAGATGTAGAAGTGGATATAGTTTATTGTATTCTGTAGAAGAGTAGAGGTATATAAATATGTTTATAAGAATCTAGGGTACAGTTAACTTAGTAGTGAAGTCCGTCTTACATCATACATGATATCTTTTTGGTAATTGATTCTTTGAGTCAGACTAAACTCTCATAAATATATCAAACTTTTTCTGTTTATATACATAATAATGACTGAAGAAGAAATGACAACCTATGTCTTGATGGGATTGAAACCCTTGACTTCCTGATTGCCGGCCTGGTAGTGTACCAGCCAAGCTACGAGATGGGAGGATAGAATAAAGACCGAAGAAATAGGCGAAATCAATAGAAATCCGAATATTCTACTGCAGAAGTTGTAGCATACACAGATAAACATTTAGAAAAAAATTGTTTCGATTTCCAAAACACGCTAGGATTAAAATGAAACTTAATTATATAATGAAATAAGAGAAATGTGACACCAGAATGTTATCAAAATAACTAAGTATGCTCTTGCTGTAATAGAAGACAAGGACTATATGAATTCTGGTCTAACGATTTAATTTATTTTAAGGTGGCTGAGGTACAGATGAGGACGTCAAAGCCAGGATCGGAAAGACAGCAAGACAGGCCTTCCTGCATTAATCTGAAATAATCAGTATGGAGATCTACTGTACTGCACTGCACTGCACTCAGCATAAAGCGTGAACAAGATCCGGATTTTCTACAATAATGTCAGTCAAGTAAGTCAGTGCTTCTATTTGATGGCTGAGAGACTTGGCGCGTGACAAAAGCGTTTCCGACAAACTATAGACATTCATCAACAGCTGGTGCCTACGCCCACTCGAGACTGAAGATCAGATGGCCAGGATAATGAGAATAAGCAAGAAGGAACTCTGGTTGACTGGCAACCAACCAACCAAGAAGCTATCACCCAACAAATATGCAGAAGGAAGTGTTGATGGATTGGATTGGGCATACACTGAGAATGAAGACGGTTTGGGGATATGACGCGCTATGCCAGGCCGTTGAGTGGAAGGTGAAGGGGAAACGACGAGTTGGGCGTCTGGGGTGAGGATGACATGGAGGAGATGGTGTGAGGAAGAAATGAAAGCTTGTGGGCAGTGGTGGAGCCAGGTTGAAAAGACTACAGAGAAGAGTGAGCAATGGGAGCGTGCCATTGAAGCTCTATGTTCCACTAGGAATACAAGGGACAAAATAATGAAAAAATAATAGTAATAAAGCTTGCTGTAAAGTCCTATTGAACTAATATTTGAGAGGAAAGAACAACTGGGCACTAATTTATCGCTAAATGAAGTAAAACACTACTGAATGTGAAGGATATGTAAATCAGAATGTAGATGGTTAGAAATCATTGCTTTTATCATCGACTATCGTGCTGAGGTTAATGAAGCTAAGTGACCAACCAATTGCTATATCCCTTCAAAGCATATTGTAACCAATAAAAATACAACAAAGTAGCCATATTTACTAAGCAATGAGCAACACATTTCGTTGACTGATCAAACCTTCGGATGTTGCACTGGATTCGAACATGAGACCAACTGGTTGAAATTCGAGTTCTTCAACCAATGATTTATAGCTCAGCAAAACAATATTCGTCTACTACATGGCTTGAATACTCTTAAATGCTTCATTCCTAATTAAAGTTGCTTCTTATTAGAATAATTAAAGGAGGTCAGTGTATCAAGTGTAACTTACAATCAGTGATCATATGTGCATCAACGCAGTCATTTTAAATGTGTTTAACATTGAACTTCGTTTGTAACTCTTTTGTCTTTCTGGTTTATTGATTAGTCTAAGCTTATAATACTTAATAATTTTGATGATAGGCTAAAGAAATACAAAAAAGAAATCAACTAATGGCACAGAAAATGGACAGAAAAAAGATGGCTGAACAAAAATGTAAGGAATGGATTCAAGCTAAACAAAAAGAACTAAGTCAAATGAAAAAGCTGAAAGAAATAGAGAAAAAGGAGAAAGAAATAGTAAGATTACAAGAACTACTTGAAAGAGTGGGTTATTCTCTATTTTTGTTTATTTTACACAATTGCATTACATGCATATACGTCACTAGTCTCAGTAATATGTTTATGAGAAAGACTTTTTGTTTTAATCCGTTGCGCATTTTTGTTGTTTGTTAATTTGGCATAGTCAATAAGAAGCTCACTTTAGTATACTATTATTCTTTGTTGAAGCCTAATAGTATAGTTTAAAAATGAGCTAGATAAAACTCGAATTATTAAATGGGCTGAATATCTTAACACCACTTAGTGGATCGGGTTTGAGTCTTTGAAAGAGTTTAGTTTTTTCAAGTGTAAATATTTACCTCATCGATGTCTGCTAGTGAATACAAAATATCAATCCTATTGTGCTCGTTGCTCAAAACTATCTAACAATGAGTAAAATGCATTACATCACAGTGCACATAAATTAGTGACATTACTATACACAGTTGGTTGACAAACTCCAGTTAGCGCTGAGGTGCAAACGGTGGTGAATCATCATATGAGCAGGAATTGTTAACTTACTTGTAGGCAGTGGTGGAGCCAGGTTGAAAAAACTGCAGAGAAGAGAGTGCAATGGCAGTGTACTACTGAAGCCCTATGTTCCACTAGGAACCTGAGGGACAAATAATAATAATAATGATAATAATACTAGAAAGTTTACGGTTAAACTAGATGTTTGCACTACAAGAAGAGTGATATGATTTTTAGTTAGTTACCCATTGTGCAGACGGAATGTGTACTTTGAGAAACGCGTCGTTTTTTCGACCACCATGATTTTCATATGTCGTCATTAGGATACATCCAACCTGGAATGATCTACTGTTTGGATATTGTGAACCATGTAATTGCTATAAGTGAAACCATTTGAAGACTTTTGAGTCAATATTTACATTAAGATTACCTAACATTTTATTTTAAGGTAGAATTCATCAAGGAATGACATCAGTTGAGGAACCATTGCATAGTGCTCATTAATGACGTGCCTTTGGATGGATATCCTGAAGTTATAATGATAAGCCATAACCGTCAAGAGAATACTAAATGAAGACCTTAGTAGATAGTCGCGATATATCGTAAATTGACAGAAGCAGGAAACTTTGAATCATTGAGTTCCGACCCAGTGATCGAATGGCTAACGTGTCCATCACGGTACCTGAAGGTCCTGAGTTCGATTCCTGGCAGGGTCGTGCTGCTGAGAAGTCCCACATTAGTCCCAGGTTTCAAGTGGTTCGCGGATTGATGTCAGTCCGTAATAAATACTACCTTATAGATGAAATCCCAGTAAAACTCAAACTAAACTGCAATTTTTCATCATCAACATTCTACATAGGTTGCTACGTATCATCTGTTTGTTGGCCTGAATATTAGTGATTTAATTTCACCAGTACTAACGCAAATAGCATTGGTCTATATAGAGTCTTGATCTCACTGCAACAATACTTTTAAAACACGTATATACTGACCAAAGACGTTGGATCACAATTTAAAACATTCTAGGATTCTTCTCTATGAATTTGATTACTATGCACTAGATTTTTATAGAATGACTAGACATGAAGAAGGAAAAAATGCTTTTCATCAAGATACTGAGATGTCTAATAGACTCAACCATAATGTAGCTATAATTTACTGGCATTTTGAGACTGTATGATAAAATCATGAGACTTACTAGACGGTTGAATAATTTCCGTTTTTTGAAAATAATTTTGTATGATATGACTGTTTCAGTTGTAGACATCCAAAGTATATAAGTATCTTGTTTCTAATTACGTTTATTGTATGACATTCTAGACCGAGAAAGCTAGATTAAAATATGAAGAATGGTGTAAAAAGAAACATGAAGAGGAGGACAGAAAAAGAGGCTTTGAAAAACAAGTAGAATTGAATAAACAACTAGCCAAAGAAAGTCGTAAAGAAGCGTCAGCTGTAGCCTATACTCAATGGTTAAAAACTGTTGGTTCCAAAAAATTGCCACCGTACTATTCACATGGTTATTCTGATGGAAAACTTATTGGTGGGTGAAATTTTGAGATTAGTTTGAAATTGTCTCTTACTGTTAACCAAACGGGAATTAATCTTGACATGAGGAAATTTGTTTCCTCATGGACTGAAATCGATTGGGGGAACATTGGAAACCTGAGAGAACTAGACAGCTGTTTCGTCCCGGTATGGGACTCCCCAGTAGTGGGCACCCTTGACCCCGCCCCACCAGGGGTCGAACTCAGGATCTTCGGGTTCCGTGGCCGGTACGTTACCATTAAGCCACTGAGTCGAAATCCAATGGTCCATATTTCCTACTTGTGTCAGTTAACGATATACTGAGACGTAAATCCAATGTTGTCGTTGAGTAACTGTCCACATGTTCGACTTAGTTGACTTCACTTGTCACGACTTTCCATTGGAACCTCGGGAATCACCTCTCGAAGCTAGTCACCAATGGGCACTTGATTAATTCTGTCTGAAGGTTTGTGGAAATTTATTCATTGACTTAAGGTTTGAATTCCAACCTAAAATCAATTAACTAAACTCGCGACTGCTGAATAAAATAAAATGCGCAAGTGGAGTTCCTTGTGAGTCACAAACATGAAGACATAATACATCAACACTGCGCTGTATAAATTCAACAAATGATAAGCCTACTTGATTGAAGGAAACGAGGAATAGGTCCTTCTATATCGTAGAGAGAATTCACAAAAGCACAACGGACCACAATTTTCCTCTTCAAAATTTCCGGACAGTTGGAGTAAGAGATTAGTGACTAGCTTCGAGAGGTGATTCCCTAGGTTCCAATGGAAAGTCGTGACAAGTGAAGTCAACTAAGTCGAACATGTGGACAGTTACTCAACGACAACATTGGATTTACGTCTCAGTATATCGTTAACTGACACAAGTAGGAAATATGGACCATTGGATTTCGACTCAGTGGCTTAATGGTAACGTACCGGCCACGGAACCCGAAGATCCTGAGTTCGACCCCTGGTGGGGCGGGGTCAAGGGTGCCCACTACTGGGGAGTCCCATACCGGGACGAAACAGCTGTCTAGTTCTCTCAGGTTTCCAATGTTCCCCCAATTGATGTCAGTCCATGATGAATTCCAACTTAAAACCAATTAATGAATCTCCACAAACCTCCAGATGGAAATTTATTTTTATTTAAATTTATGCAGGTAATTCCGATTAATATTAATGAAATTCGAAACCTACACTTTGCTTTATTCAGCATAACTTTACTAGAAGGATACATTAGTTAAGAATACAGATCGTTTCAATAGGAAGTTAATGAACAATATAAAATCTGAAATGGATAACAATCAATAATGTTAAGAATCTCAGTAGACCTTGCTGTGATTAAAGGTTTTGTTTTTCACAGAAATCAATATTTAGTGTCACAATTATAAACAATTGTCAAAAGGTGTTGAGATTGATTGGGTAATAGTGGACACTACTTTTCCAAGTTTGCTTTCTATTTTATCAGTTAGAAATTAGATTATGTAGACTGCTGATCAGTATTGGAGTGTGTTACGATTAATTTGGAGGTTTATATCCTGCAAATAACATAGAAAAACTACAACGGATAACTTCCTTTATATTTTGGCACACATTGATTAAGAATGAAACTGTACCACTGAAAAATCAATGAGAACTCTTCGATTTGAATTCCTTTAGGATGAATGCTTTAAGGTCTAGCAGAAAAGAAAACTACTTTTCAAACAACGCTTGAAACAAATACTTTACTCAAGAAGTCTTCATTGTTCTATGACTGTTGCAAATAGAAAGCTATGGGTACTCTTGACTCTTTTAGTGAAGTATCCATCGAGATGAAGTTATGTACACACCATTCAAAGTCTTATTTGAGGTAATCAATATATAGAAATAGAAAAGCCTATCTAGCTGACTAATATAAACTTTGTAAATCATCATTTCTTGTGAAAAAGAACACAATTCTTTGCATATATTTATAAAGAATATGTCAAAAACCACGAACTGGTTATTTCAAATTTATGAGACTGCTACAATATGGTATAACCACAATAAAAGTATGATACATCTGACAAAAATGGAGTTAATCAAAGTAAGCGTTGAAAATCACTTTTTGTCATTGACTGTCTGAAATTCACCATTGTGTATCCTAACGACATATCTGACAATCCATTAGAGAGTGAGTCCACTGCACAGGAGTTTGGTATAGTTTATTGTACAGTTGTGAGGCATAGTTTTTGAAGGTGAAAGATATAATGAGGCAGTACGATTTCGATTGTAGGTGTCCGAGAAACACTATTCATGTGTATTTAGACATTTCTTTAGTCTTCATTTATTACCTTTATTATATTAATTTTCATATTATCTATCCTAATATTACGAATCTTTCTATTGGTTTCTTATGTCTGTGGTTTTTCTAATTGTCACTAGTTGAATAGAACAGTTCTTCACACGAATAAGTTTATCACATATTCTCTGTAAGATAATTTCAGATTAATCTTACATGTGATCTTGTCTTGAAATGTTACCGCTGAGTTTCATTTCAATTTTTGAATAGGTCTTACGAGTTACTTGTGAATTCAAATTTTTCAGTTGACCGGATTAGAGAGAAATAAACCAACTCAAATACAATGTGAGAGAGATAGTTAGGTTTTGTTGAGTAGCATCTGATTGTCTTAGGCATTTGACTTCCAAAATATTAGGTCATGAGAGCCTAACTTGCCTTCAAACGATAGGTGTGGCTGTCACAGAGTAGCGAAAAAGTTTTGTAAGCGATTATTTGGTTGGGTTATAACCTAATTAGTGAAAAATAACATTGTGTTTGAAGTGACGCCAATTGCTCAACTCAAGGAGATTTCAAATCTAGTCGATATAATTCAGTCAGCGCTAAGGACTAGACAACATTGTGTTGTTAAGTATTCAATTATCGATCAGTTTACCTTGCTAAATTCTAAAGCAGGTCAGTTAAGGCCTAAATAACTCACTGGAAAAATTTTAAACTCCAAAGCTGAGTGATGTCGATTCAGTTCTATGAAGAGAAATCAGATTCTTTGAAGTCGCATATATGCCTTGTTGATGACTGCCAATAGTCGCGAAACTGAGTTTCGGGGCTTGCAACCAGCTGGCTTACATAAAACACACCGTTGGTAATGTAGTAAACAACTTTGATATACTTATGTACAATTCCATCAACTTTCTTCTTTGAATTCGGCACTTGATGTATATTCATCCCTTTAAAATGAAAATAAACCCCAGTAGGAACATACTAAAAAGAATACTCAGGTAATAAGCGTTTATTGATGATTTCGGATCTGTATGCAACGGGTTAAGTAGTTAAAAGCCTTAACACTATACTGTATGATGGTTATGTGATAAAAAGGCATAAGCTGTAAAAGAGTTGGGATCTAAGTGTCATAAGTAATAATAATGACAATAGTAATGAGCAAGTCATTCATTAGGAGCAGATTTCGAACCTACTATTTGAATAACTTCCGTTAACCCTTTTTTTTCATTGATGTAAGTTTAGAATATGAGCACCGTATTGAAGTGTCATTTTATTGATCGTTCTTGCAGTTCCTTGCTCATATTTTCATATGAAGATATGATAAAAGCATAAGAAATAAACTGTTCTGGGAACATTATCTAGTGAATAATACTGCATCACTTTATGCTGATATTAAATAGACTAATCTAATAAATAACCTTTTGTTACCTTCAGAAATTCATATCATTAGCCTACATTCAAGCCTCAAAATCAATATCTTCATGCCATGGTATCATACTATGCCACGATCATATTGAACAATCTTCAATCTTAGTTGGAGTTATTCTTTTGAGAAATAATTTAATGACTTCCTGTGTAAGCTACAGATATGCTACACTGAATAATAATGATTTGGTATTTCCACCAAGTATAACCAGTCTTCTGTGTGGGACTTTTCAGTTGGATGTACAACATTCACTAGAAGTCGGGTGTACCCAGCTGACGAGCCTCAGTGGGTTGAAACACGTTTCCTGAATCTCATCGCCACACAATATTTACCCTTAAAATCAAAATGAAATTACCTGCCATATCGAGCCATCTAAACAGAGACCCGTATGTCAGCAGTTGCAGATCTATTTTGTCAAAACCAACCAACAATGGGAAATAACAAGTAATACTATCTGCATACAGAAGAGGTTTATTTATCAAAGTATCTACCATAAAAGTTATTATTTTTATTCTTGCAGATTATTACGATCGAACAGCGAATCCGCCTCCAAGTTTTATAAATCCTAATCCATGGATCAGTCCTTTAGAGCCAACAACAACTACAAAAGAAAATGATGAGAGGTAGAGACATCCAGAAAGTCTACTGAAGAAAACAACACTCCTCACAACAATGACTACTTTATGATTATTATACATAGGCAGATCGGATTCTAATTAATACATTATGATATGTATATGTCAAGTGAATAGTGGACAGATAGTTTTTGAAAGAAATCTTACTTACCGGATGCATATCACTTCAAGCTGTACATTTACTGATATTGTTCCAATGTTGATTATACCTCAATGATTCTTAAAGAACTAGACTTTTTATTGGATTAACTAAAATCCACTGACTGAGTGTAATTTCTTCAAAATGAAGATATGAATTATTGCACACGAAACTGACTCTTTAAAAAAAATCAACTGATTTATTGATGCACTCAATGAATGAAATCCTATTGACAACCGGTTAGCAGCACAAATGTTAAAGTGGTCATATGATATATTATTAGATATTGGTATGAATTTTGAGGTAGCTCAGCCCTTCTTTGAACTTTAATCATGAACACTGTTGATAAAATTCATTTGTTATTTAAACTGCTACAGGCTAAATCACATGAATAATTTCAAAATAGCTGGGGATGGGATCTTACACTAGTCTATGCGAAATTAGTCAGGGAAAGCAAAACTTAAAACGGTTATTAGGTGATAAGTGCAACAAAAAAAGATGTGAAATATATTCGTTATATCTTATGAGTAACCTTAATATCGAGAAACGCGACTGGGATGTATATAACGGTGTTCCAGTATCTTATGAAGGGTGTATATATGATTACTACATCTACGACGAATAGGAAACCTTGCTTTCTCCTCACGAATTAGATTTCCACATGTTTTGAAGAGCCCATGAAGTACGACAGAAGCCAATATTACAGAATTTATGGGTAGAATACTGATAACCCGACGACTATCACATACCCAACATAGACGGTCAAAAGTATAAGTACCATCATAGATTCATTGCAGAGTAATGAAACTACCAATCTGAAATATCTTTCCAAACAGTATAGTCAGTTCTGTAACTGGTTTCACGTCCAACCCTAAGATGAGCCAGAGGTAAGTTGTCAAGGCCGAGTGTCTTATGATGCCTCGGTACTTAAGGATCCAAATGGAACTCTACACACAGTGCAGTTGACGTTTCAGAAGCTGTAGGCCAAGATGTGGGCAGCCCAGAAGTTTCAACCAGCAACATGGTCTCAGTGGTATGCAAAACCCAACCATCACTTACTGTTGTCTAAACGTCTGCCTTCACCTCCTGATACCAATATTAAGCCTCTCACAGCCTAGCCAACCTTCTATATTGAGACCACTGATAACATTCCTAGTCAGCAGAACATCATTCCTAGTCTCGTAAAACCCCATTGTCGATTTCACGTTGAACCTTTCAAAGTTCAAACACAACGTCTATGTACTGTTCGACTGAACGACACAATGAGGAGAAAAAGGAGTGGTGAAACTCACCGTTATCTCTTTGTAATCTCTGCTTACGCACCCAATGACTGCAGTTCGGATGGAGTGGAGGATCCGTTCTACCGTAAAACTGTCTAGGCTCCCACTGAAAGCCAAGTGCTCATACGTGGTATTTTTTGCAGGTGATTTCATTGCCCAGTTGGCAGGCTAAACCAGGCAGAAAGGCACTTGGTTGGCCTTTTCGGAATCCCAGTCGAACGAACAGATAACGGTGATCACCTGTTAAAACTGTTCTCAGATAACCATTTATTCCTGGACAGTACAAACTTCAGACATAAAGAGGCACTGTTTGATATGGCGTCTACCGACTCCAATTCAGCTTTGGAAACAGTCAGACCATATTGCTGTCAGTCATCGCTGGAGAGGGGTAGTGGAAGACGTGTTTGGACAGCAAACACGCATTGGTTTGAGCGCAAGTGAGACTACGTTTCGATAGGTGTAGGAAAACTAGCAACAAGACTATTGTGAGCACAGTTAGACAATGAGAGCAATAAGGCCGCTTTCAGCGAGAAGGCGGTTCGAAAGCTATCGGAACAGAACAGTATCAGTCAACCAGAAGAAGCCTGGCGTCATTTTCAGTCTGCTGTAAAAACAGCATTAAAGACGGTATCCGACTGCTAGAGAGTGGTTAAAAGAAGCCAGTGGATACCAGCAGCTTTTTCTGAATTAATGGATGCTCACGGATGCATCCCTGCAGGTTCTGAGTACATTATCGAGTGAATGCAACTGGAACGTAAACTTACAAAAAGTCTACGCGATTCCCGCGAACAATGATGGGCAGCAAAGGTTAAAGAGACTGCAAAAAGAGAGATGATAGGTAGCAGTAGATAGTTATTTAGACTTATTAAGGAAACTGGAGCGGAAAGGTCAGTAAAACGATAGCGGAGAGGGGTGGGTCTGCGATTCACTCACAGAGCAGACGACTAGAAAGATGGGCCTCCAGCCACTATTTTGCTGCCCATCGACCAGTCGGAGCTTGGATGGAACATCGAGATAGGACCCCCAACACTTGCAGAAATCGAAGGAGTTGTAGGTAACATGAAACGAGAAAGAGGAGAAGGGCCAGACGGACTAGTTTCAGATGTATTTAAGGATGACAGTCAGGGGGTTTCAGTCAGGTTAACTGGGGTGTTAACTAGTGTGTGGGAGCCTGATACAATCCTCTGCGATTGGTCTCAGTCACTGACTATCCCAGTCTTCACGAACGGCGAGAAGTCCTCCTGTAATAACTGCTGAGGGTTCAGCTTGAAAAACATAGTGCATAAGATTCTCAGTCCCATAATCATTAGGCATCAAAGTGGGGGTTAGGAACAGCAAACGCGAGGACACCGGGCATGTCCCAGACCTAGCCATGGGTGAATTGACCAGATATTCACACTGTCAGGTACTCCAATCAGGCACACTTATCGACGCCCGATACTAATTGCAATTCTGGGCCTGAAGGCAGCTGTCTACTCCGTCGACCGTGAGGTCTTATGGTAGTGTCTCTCACTGAGAGAGATGACGAATAATTACAAGACTCTGTTGAAGGCTGTTTACTCAAACACCTTTGGTGAGTCGTCAGATGAGCTGTGTACATCGAGTAGTGTTTGTCCAGGATGCCCACTCTTTCCATTCCTGTTTACTTTTGACATAAGTTCTTAGGGAGGTGCCCGTCTCATTGCCTTATATTGTAGCGATTTATTTAATCACTGAGGATTCTTTGGTGGACCGAGAGTACTGAAATGATATAGTCCGGTTAGGTGAAGATGCAGTCTTCTGGACATACTGAATGACAATCTGAGAATTTTCGGGGTGCGTTTCTCCCCACCCAAATGCAAACTGTTGCTCTATGACTGGTCTTCAGCAGTGCCCTGGCCAACAGTAGAGGGTAAAGTGGTTGGGTATGTTGACCACTTCACTTACCTGGGAGGTGGGATCGGTGACCGACGAAATCTCTGCACGGATATAAAAGGCTAGCTTGGCTTTCACCAATTTAAGCCATGTCTAGTGCCCCTGAAATATCCGATTGCTTACTAAGGGCCGAGTGTATTATGCTACACTCCAGTCCATTCTACTGTATGGCTGTGAAACATGACCATTAAAGGTGAGCATATGAAGACTCCTAGCATTTGAACATTGTTGCCTTCGTAGCATAGGCCATATGCCATCAAGCGAGTAATGCAGAAGTCAGGCGTAGAGTTTTAGGGAGGATAGGAGAGTCAGTTGATAAGATCGTGAAATTTCATCGACTGAGGTGGCTGGAACATGTTTTACACATGCCTAGTCACCGTCTGCCCCGTCGCGAAATGTTGGCCAGGTTGAGAGATCTAGACTACCCGCTTGGGGTCCACGTGACAAGAGATATCCGTGGTTGGAGACTTTAGGTGATGTGGCTCAGAATCGATGTCATTGGCGCCGACGCATCCAAACTTTATCTTCATCATAATCGCTATACTGAATTCAGCATTTTCTCGTTCCTCTCTTTTACAGCTTGTGATTGGTTTTTCCTTCTTTCTTCATGTTACTTCTTGTACTGATATCAGATGTGGCAACTTGGACCATTACGCACTAATGCCTGGTCTTATGTTGACACTGATTGGTTGATCAAATCGGGCAACAGGTGTCACTTGCCGAAAAGCCTGTAACCTGAAGCCAGAGATATATACTGTGTGTTTGGAGGACATGCATACAGGATCCAGGCGTGGTAATTTACCTGGTGTCATATGACCAATGTGGTGATTCTAAAAAATCCACTTTACGAGTGTTCAACGACTAGTTCTCATGGGCTAGCTGGTATAAGCATTAGGTTGTTGGACACAAGGCAACTTCTCGATTGGATATCAGTCAACAGTCGCATGTATGCTGTCAGACTAAATGGATCCGTATGCACTGATCGGCGCCTATTCATAATCTGTTTGCGCTGCCGTCGATTGCAGTTCGGATGATGCGAAGGATGAATTCTATCATTAGTCGTCAATTTTGATACAGAAAGCGAATAGCCCAGATATAGTCGTAATAGGTGATTCCAACTCTCAAATCGAAAAGTTGTATTGAACGTGTCTATGACATCCCATGCCACCAAGACGATAGCCGTGGTCGTCTGCTGTAGTTCTTTTCTGACAATCATTTGTTTCTGGCCAGCACTACATTCGAGTCCGATGATATTAGGCTCACGATGGCCACAGATAGGTCATGTCGTCATCGTTGGAACTTTGGTGCCCTTTCTAGATTACCTATCTGGGCTTCGATCACGTGTTAGTACGATCATGTGCATGTATGCGCCTTACTGGTTCCAAAAAACAGGAGGCAGTTAGTTCTGTGTGCTCGATTGGGAGATGATAAAGTGACGTACGTATTTAGGGAGGAGATAGCTAAGCACTTATCTGAACGTGACACCAATGATCATCCTGAGGAAACCTGGCATGATATTCAGTTTGCTGTAGAAACACCAGTAGATAGTTGGTAACCTACATGCAAATGTTAGCAGAAGCCAGTGGATTTCCGCAACATGTGAAATGGTTGGTGTAAGACTCGTTCCAGCTGGTTCTGGCCACAATGAGGAGCGGAAGCATTACTTTATCTACATTAAAAGGCATTTTATTTATGACTTTTCTTAGTAACACCAATGCATAGCTCGGTTCAAGGGCTGGTGACTGGTCTCATTCATTTCTGTATAACTTACAGTTGTGGAATAATTACCGGTTGATTGAAATCAGTCATCGAATATTACTTCTTTTTCTGTACGTGAAACCGGTTATTTCATTTTATGATGCTTCGCGAACACATAATTTATTTGTATGTCTAGATAACTAACATTGCCACAAAAATACTGACAATAAGCGCAAAACTTTGCGTTCTGTTGTAAGAGGTAAGGGAGGTAAAATTGTGTGAATCGTGTGGGTGAACTGCGCATACGGGATGTGGCAAGTATACGCAAGATTAGTCATGTGTAAGGTTAGCGGTGGGAAAGGATCGGAAAAATCACATGGTTCAGATAAGTATCACTAGGCAAAGACCTAACAGTCGACACTCAACCTACACATTTAAGTCTTCGCCTGGTTATAGGATATCATTCAAGCACAGTTGGTTGAGGTTACTCAATTGATAGTAGAAATTCTCTTTATCTGAATCACGGATCCAGGAGACATGGTATGCATCAAAAGCAAGACTTTCCAGAGGCTTAGCCAAAAACTGTATGTTGTCCTATCTGCATCAAGGTCTCAAAAGTGAAGACAGACAGCTGGAATGTTACCCGTGGTTTCGGAGTAGTTGGCTCGCATATGATACTGAAGTATAGCCTTATAAAAGCAACTGTTTAGCCACTCAAAACAGTACAGAATTTCAGTCAATGATGAGTAGCCATATGAAAGAAAGACGCATAAAGACAAGTTTTAAAATAACATCCAAATAATTATTTTCATATGTAAAAATAACAAAGATAAAATTACAATATACTGAATGGTTGATTTCTTAAAGCATTGGGTATAGTTGTTTACAATAAGATTTACTAACCACTTCGAAATCTTTATAAGTAAATGCATGGTGATTAACACTTAAATAGTAGTCCAGATACCCAAACCAACACACGAAGTCTAATTATATACAAAATCATGCGTTAGACTGTACGCTATTGTACACAATGTTACCCAAATAGAATTTAATGAAATTCCATACTATTGTTCCCCTCTATAAAACCTTATCGAGCGTGAAGAACAACAGGATCAGAATAGCATGACGTCATCCTATTTTGGTGGTGCTCGTCAATGGATGAGAAGAGTTGGGTGGATTAGTTATGATTATTTGTCCCTTGGGTTCCTAGTGGAATATAGGGCTTTAGTAGCACGTCTCCATTGCACTCTCTTCTCCGCAATCTTTTAAACCTGGCTCCACAACTGCCCAGAAGGACTTATTTCTTTCTCACACCACCTTTTCCATGTCACCCTCAGCTAGGACGCCCAACTCGTCGTTTCCCATCTGGGTCCATTCGAGTGCCTGGTGCGTGATGTCCCCAAACCGTCTTCCTTCTCAGTGTATGCCCAATCCAATCCATCAACACTTCCTTCTGCATATTTGTTGAGTGATAGGTTCTTGGTTGGTTCGTTGCTAGTCAGCCAGAGTTTCTTTGTTACTTATTCTCATTCTTCTGGCCATCTGATCTTCAGTATCGGGTGAGCATAGACAGTTGTTGACGGATATCTGTAGTTTGTTGAAAATGCTTTTCATGACGCACCAAGTCTCTGAACCAAATAGAAGCACTGACTTGACTAACATTAATGTTCAAAATCCGGATCTTGTTCTTTGTGCTGAGTGTAGTAGATCTCCATACTGGTTTCAGGTTAATGAACGCCTGCCTTGCTTTTCCGAATTCGGCTTTGACGTCCTCATCTGTGTCTGTGCCGCCTGTAGTTGGAACGATGCTGCCTAGATAGGTAAAAGAGGCTACTTCCTTTAAGTTTCTCCCGTTGAGGAAAATCTCGATAATTAATTGTGTATACATCAACAAAGTAACAGACAGTGGCTAGAATAGAAACGTAGAATATGAGTTGCCACCTATTTCAGACGCACTATAATGGAAGTACATGGACACCCGTGAGTGACGTCGTTCCCAATGAGACTGTCAACCCTAAAAAGTTATTCACTGAGGCACGAGAGCCACCAATTGTGCAACGGGTATCAGTTGTTGTTTATTAATACTTGTAATTCCCCTCTGCTATGGAAGTCAAGTGTGCTTACATCTTTGAAGCATATTACCTAGATTTTTTTAAAACAACATTTCTATACATATTTGTATTGTGCAGAACTAAGAATGGAGTAAAAATAACAATAAGGCATGGAATATTATTAAGTAAATAATCATAAAAGTAGATGGATAGATAGATAATTGACTGGCACAATCTCTAAGGTTTTACTAGAAACCGCTGCCTCTGGTATGCATGTATGTGTGTACATGAAGAGAAATATGTGCAATGAAAGATATGAATAATTAGGGTTGTTGTATAAGCATTGCCAATTGATCAAAGTGGTGCAACTGCCACTTCTGGGATAAAACTTCTCACTCGAACAAAACGGCATGGAGGAAAATGTTGGTTTGACAGCTCCAGAACAGTTGTACTTTCATTTTCACTAGATCTACATGAGAAAACAAAGAATGTTACAGATAGGGAGGGGGAAGCATATCTTTTGAGTGTTTGGGTGCAATATATGTTGTGCACAGTAATATTTAAAGCGAAATTTTCATAATGAAAGAATTGTCACCATGACAGTGGAATATCTACCTCTTCGATCCCTAACGAAGCTAGGAGACACTGAACACATTTAGAATCAAACCGATTATTCCGAAGTATTGCGTAAATCCCATAAATAGACGTGTAACTATTGGATTAAATTAGTTCAGGAGAATAAATAGTGCTGTTGAAATAACAAGGCAACCTGTATATACATAAACTGCACAGTATTTTGTGTATAGTCAAAGGCTGTAAAAACCTTACATAGTTATAGTACCGTTTCTATTTCTGGGGAATCAAGTGGCAAGTAGAGTAATCTGAACAAATTTATCCTTAGTGTTATTCTAAACATAAATCAGCCCACAGGACACATACATCAATATTAAAAGTATAACTTGTGCATTATGATACAATGTAATTCCATTTTTATTGATTTTTTAGATATATCACACAGTGGAACAATATTGTTTACCGGATTGCGTTTCCAACACAATTTGTTGTAGCTAGTCACATCAAGATAACTTCAGAACATCCTTTAAAAAATCCTAATTTCATCGTCTTCTTTGTGATTTGGGTAGTCGGATTTCTCATAAATCCAGAACAGATGTTGAGTCATTCCTGTCGCATGTATTTGGTGTTGATTCGATAAACAATGATTCAACTATCAGTCTCTCCCTCCATCCCCCTAGGTTAGTCTTAAGAATTTTCACTCTGTCCCATCCTACTGTGTGGTTGTGTGTATTTGTAGGTGTAGCTATGGTAGAGCTTATTTCTAATTCCATACCTTACTAGGATCTACCAGTTTTCATCTAGCTGGGTGTTTGTGCTCGGATAGCCTAATTGACTCTGGTCGACTACGTTGACCTATGTATTTAACCTCGCAATCGTTGCAAGGGAGTTGGTAAAATTAATTATTCTGCTCAATTGGATTAATAGGATCTTTTAATCTGAAGAGCTTATTTCTAAGTGAGCTGGTAGGTTAAAATGTCACTTTAATTCTAGCCCTATTGAAAATGCTAAGTAGGGTTTCTGAGGTGTCTCAGAATTGCAAAATATACATTTGATTTGGTGATGGACAGTTTTCCTGTGTAAACAACAACAGTAGGTTGGAATACCTCAACAGTCATATTCAACGTCATATGCAGTTTCAAATTTTGAAGAGTTGAAAAATTCTCGCGATAAACTTTGCTGACAAGCAGCAGAAATATGTTTCAATATTATTTTATTGAATGATGTCTCAATTTACTGAAAATTAAAAATCCTTCTAGTATTCCAAAATTTCATAGTTTTTCTTAGCTGGTACAAACGTGTCTACTAAAAATTGGTACTGTGTAAAACATAACTCCAATATATATTCACAGGATTTCTGGTTAAAATTTCGCAACGGAAATTTTAGATTTTATGTTTAGATAAGTAGACAATAAGTTGGGTGAAGAAATATTTATTTTCAATTAGCTCCTTTTCATAAGTTCTACGCCAATACGTAAGTTTCTCTTATTGATACAATGCATAAAAGCAATTTGGTGACGACAATTTACATACTGAGAAAATGATTAATTTTACAATTTCATTAGGGTGTTAATTGCCATGCAGCAACTAAAAAAAACAAAGAAGATATAACACGACTATCAACCAATGTCTTCAGTTGGTTTCCACTTCATTTCCGACTGGCTAACCCCACAGGTTGCGGAACCTCGGGCAACGGACGTGCACTGCTGAGGAGTCCCATACCAGTGTGCTCCCAGGTTTTCTATGGTTCATCGACGGATGTCAGGCTATGATGGATACTACTTTAAAAAACAAAATCTGAATTGACCCCAAAAATATATTGCTATATGGTGCTCATTAGTGACCTGTTTCGAGATGTGTTATCCGAAGTTCTAATGAGAAGCTGTGACCTGTGAAGTCAACTAGTCAGAAGTGAAGCGAATCCTACCTGAAGACCTTGGTTGATAGTCAAGCTATATTGCAAACTGAGAGAATTAGGAAACTGTAAGCCATCGAACTCCGATCAAGTGGCTGAATCGCTATAGCGTTCACTGTGCAACCCAAAGGTCTTGAGTTCAACTCCTGGCGGGGTCACGGGCGCGTACTGCTGAGCAGACACATACTAGGAAGAAACAGACGTCCAATGCTCCTAGGTTTCAATGAATATTACCTTAAAAAGCACTATTATATTATTTTTTCCTTGAGTTCCTAGTGGAACATAGGGCTTTAGTAGCACATCACAATTTCACTCTCTTCTCTGCAGTTTTTTTCAACTTGGCTCCACCACTGCCCATTAACTTTCATTTCTTCCTCACACCATCTCCTCCATGTCATCCTCACCCCAGATGCCCAACTCGTCGTTTCCCCTTCACCTTCCACTCGACGGCCTGGCATAGCGCGTCATATCCCCAAACCGTCTTCATTCTCAGTGTATGCCCAATCCAATCCATCAACACTTCCTTCTGCATATTTGTTGAGTGATAGCTTCTTGGTTGGTTGGTTGCCAGTCAACCAGAGTTCCTTCTTGCTTATTCTCATTATTCTGGCCATCTGATCTTCAGTATCGAGTGGGCGTAGGCAGCAGCTGTTGATGAATATCTGTAGTTTGTTGGAAGTGCTTTTCGTGACGCGCCAAGTTTCTGAACCATATAGTAGCACTGACTTGACATTGGTGTTAAAAATCCAGATCTTGTTCTTTGTGCTGAGTGCAGTACATCTGCACACTGGGTTCAGATTAATGAAGGCCTGCCTTGCTATCTTTCCGATCCTGGCTGGTTTTGACATCATTGTCTGTACCGCTGCCTGTAGTTGAAATGATGCTGTCTAGGTAGGGGAAAGAGACAACTTCCTTTAGGTTTCTCCCGTCCACGGTGATTGGTGCTTGTTGTTTTTGTTGTCGGTTGGGTATCTTCATCACCTGTCTTCTCTACATTCACCCGAAGGAAGTCCTGTCTTCGCTGCCTCGTCTCTTCTGTCAACTTGTTGGTTTTCGCCTGTACATCTTCCAGTGTGTGCGACACTAGACATAAGTCATCATCAACAAAGGCGTCACTGAGCTTTCCCATTGTGGATCACACCTTAAAAAAGTATACATTATAAAACTGGAAAATTCAAAGCAGGTTGTAACTGAATTGGCAGATAGACAATTGTTGACATTAGTTACGTTAAGATAATGAGAGAATGAAAATAATTGGAAAGAAATATGTTTTCATTCAATTAATTGTTTCTTGAATGTTTCAATGGAAATTTCCATTCTACTGAAATATAAAGGTAAGCTTTTATAACCGATTTGGTAGGACATTACATACATTATCTATGCACCGCAGACATATGCTTCTTTTTTAAAAAAAATAAATAATTTAGAGACGATGAAAGCTCCAAGAGTAAACAACTCAGCTCAGAGAATACAATACAACCAAGACTATTCACCTGAGCTATAAATATTCTCCACTATTTCAAAGTCATACAAAGAAAATTAATCAGAACAATGAACTCACTTATCAAAAGTATGAATAACATACGAGTTCCAAATCAGTTGATTGTGTAGACGACGTTTCTTATTGCAAATTTTAAATTTCTGTAGTCAAAAAAAAAATTGAAAAACAGGTTCATTGAAAACAAAAAATAACTGCTGATATTAACAAAATAATTATGGAGGACTGAAGAGTATTAGGTAGGTGATTTGTATCACAAACTCAGTAAAACACAATATTCACATGAGATTAATATCATAAATGATAAGTTCTTGAGATTTATATCAAGAGCCAGATACAAAATTGTTTGGGTTTGTGGTGTTTATTGGTTCAACGGGTGATTTCGGAGATCGATCGTCCAAAATATACCAAAACTTCATCATGAACTGATATCAGTTGGAGGAATATTGGAAACCTGGGAGCATTGAACAGTTGTTTCATCTTGGCATGAGACTCCTCAGCACAGCGCACCCATGACCCTAATCCATCAGGGACCGAATTCAAGACCTTCAGGTTCTATGTCCAGCACGTTACCAATGGTCCATATTTTTTTTACTTCTGTCAGTTCATGATATACCGAGACCTACATTCAATATCATCGTTGAGTAATTGTCCTCATTGTTCGACTTGGTTGACTCCACGACTTCTCATTAGAACTTCAGGAATCACCTCTCGTAGCTAGTCACCAATAAGCGCTAGATTAATTCTATGTGGAGGTTTATGAAGACTTATCAATTGATGAATGTCAACCTGAAATCAACTAATTAATCTCCACAAACCTCAAGATAGAATATCAAAACTTTATCATTTAATTAAGTGTTAATTATTCATAAACTATGCAATAAATATTATTTTAGTATAAAGAAAAACACTTTAAACTATTTGACAGTCATTAGTCTATTTTACTAATTTGAGTATAAATCAATATTGTCTTCATGTAGTAATCTCATATTATCCCTTTTTATATGGTATGCTATTTAGCCAACTGATATAAAAAGTATGTTAGGTAAGAAAAAAAATGTTTAAAAAATTTAGAAGGAAGTTTATCGAGTTTCACTAACTTTCGTAATCAAAACAATAATAAACTTTTAAGTAATCATTGCATATCTTGTTTTCTAATTTAATTAACTGATTTGCTACAAACTGATTTCATTAAATGATGATGTATTTCAAAGGAATTCAAATAATTACCTACAACTTAGTGAAACTTGAAAACCTGATGAAGAGTTTCTGTACTACACTACGAACTATGCTTAATGCATGATTATTATTATTAGTCCCTTGGGTTCCTAGTGGAACATAGGGCTTCAGTAGCACGCCTCCAGTGACCTCTGTTCTCTGAGATCTTTTGAACCTGGTTCCACGACAGCCCAGAAGCTCTCATTTCCTCCTCGCACGACCTCCTCCATGTCACCCTCGGACGTCCAACTCGTCGCTTCCCATGGGGATTCCACTCGAGGGCCTGACGCGTGATGTCCTCAGTCGGCCTTCTCAGTGTATGCCCAATCCATCTCCACTTCTTCCTGCATATTTGTTGCGTGATAGGTTCTTGGTTGGTTCGTTCCCAGAGTTCCTTGTTGCTTATTTTTTCTGGCCATCTGATCTTCAGCAGCGAGCGTAAGCAGTTGTTGATGAATGTCTGTAGTTTATTGGAAATGCCTTTCGTGACGCGCCAAGTCTCTGAGCCATACAAGAGCACTGACTTGACGTTGGTGTTGAAAATCCGTATCTTGTTCCGCATGCTGAGTGCAGATCTCCACACTGGTTTCAGGCTAATGAACGCCTGTCTTGCTTTTCCGATTCTGACTTTGACGTCCTCGTCCGTCCCGCCTGTAGTTGAAACAGTGCTTCCTAGATAAGTGAAGGAGGTTACTTCCTTCAAGTTTCTCCCGTTGACGGTGATTGGAGTTTGTTGTTGTTGTTGTTGATGGTGGTGGTGCGGTATCTTCATCACTTCTGTCTTCTCTATATTCACCTGAAGTCCCGTCTTAGCTGCCTCCTCTGTCAACTTGTTAGTTTTTGCCTGCAGATCTTCAAGTTTATGTGACATTAGGCATAAGTCATCGGCGAAATCCAAGTCTTCTAGGTTCTTTTCCGTCGTCCAGTGTATCCCCCTCTTCTCGCTGCCTACTGTTTGCTGCATGATCCAGTCCACCACAATTAGGAATATCATGGGGGATAGTAGGCAACCTTGTTTCACTCCTGTCTTCACTTCAAAGGCATCACTGAGCTTCCCATTGTGGATTACTTGGCATGTGGCATCTTCATATAGTTGTTGAATGAGGCGGATAAAGGTTTGCGGTACTCCGTAGTATTGAAGCAGTTTCCAAATTACTTCTCGGTCGACGCTGTCAAAGGCCTTCTCAAAGTCGATGAAGTTGAGGTAGAGAGCTGATTGCCATTCTACGCTCTGTTCTATGATGATACGAAGCGTTGCAATTTGGTCAGCACATGATTTGTACTTCCTGAAGCCTGCCTGTTCCGGTCGCAGTTTTGAATCCAGTGCGTCTTTAAGCCTCTCCAGGATGATGCGGCTTAATATTTTACTTGGGGTGGATAGGAGAGTGATTCCGCGCCAGTTCTTGCAAGCACTGAGGTCTCCCTTCTTCGGCAGTTTGACAAGGTAACCCTTCTTCCAATCGTCAGGTACCTTCTCTTCCTTCCACACCTTCTGCAATAGTGGTGTGAGCATGTCCGCTGTTGTCTCTGCATCTGTTCTCAGTGCTTCTGGCGGTATTCCATCTGGTCCTGCTGCTTTCCCGCATTTCAGTAGCTTTATGGCGTTCAGGACTTCCATTTTCGTTGGGGGATTTATGTTCACTTGTAATTCAGCGGCTGCAGGTGGTATTTCTGGACGAAGTGCAGGTGGTGGTCGATTCAAGAGCTTCTTGAAGTGGTCGGCCCATCGTTTCCTCTGTTTCTCTTCTTTTGTAATTAAATTTCCTTCTTCATCTTTTATTGGTTTCATCTGTGTTGGTCTCTTCCCTGATAGCAACCTGGTTATTTGATACAATGTCGTCAGGTCTCTCTTACCTGCAGCCTGTTCTGCTTCACTTGCCAGTGTGTCGTAGAAGTGTCGTTTGTCTTTGCGTGCACTCTTCTTCACTTCTTTATCCAGTGTTTTATACATTGTGCTCAGTTCCTCTTGTCGTTGAGCATCCTTGCACTGGTTTATCTTCTGCTTCACCATCCTCCTCTCCTCTATCAGCTTCCAGGTATCCGTCGAGATCCATTCCTTGTCTTCTTTCTTCCTAATACTGTTGTGCAGGTTTCTTTCCACATAGCTTTCAAAGACTTCCAGTGTTCTTCTACACAGGTTTCTTCAGGGATGTCCCTCGACGTCTCCCATTTTGTCTTGATGGCTGCTTTGAAGATCTCCTTTGTAGTTTCATCCTTCAGTTTCCGAGTGTTGTACTTGAATTGAGGTCTATCACCAGCTTCCTTGAAGGCTTTTAACTTGATTTCGAAGGTTCCTTGCACTAGATAGTGGTCTGAACCTACATCTGCTCCTCTTCTTGACCTTGTGTTAAGTAGACTGCGTCTCCATTTTCTTGAGATTGAGATAAAGTCGATTTGATTTTTAGTGTGTCCATCTGGTGAAATCCATGTCGCTTTGTGGATATCCTTGTGCCTGAACACACTGCCTCCAATCACCAAATCGTTGAATGCACAGAATTCTGCAAACAATTCTCCATTCTCATTCATTTCACCTAGCGCCTCTCGACCCATGGTTAGTTCTCTTCCCGTGTTGTCCCCTCCCAGTTTGGCATTCATGTCGCCCATTAGAATTTTGATATCGCCAACTGACGTCTTGTCCAGTGTTGACTGAAGTTGTCTGTAGAATTCCTCCTTTTTCTCTTGCTCTGCATTATTTGTAGGTGCATAACATTGTATGATTGTGACCTTTCTTCCTTTTGAGTTGAATCTTGCTGTCATGATCCTGGAGGAGATTGGTTCCCACTGCATGAGAGCCTTCGATGCTCTTGAGGACATCATGATAGCCACTCCCTCAGTGTGCTCGTGGTTGGCGTCTGGGTGACCGGAGTAGATTATTGATTCTCCCGTTGACAGTTTGGAGAGTCCACTCCCATTCCATCTGCTTTCGCAAATCCCAAGCACTTCGATGTTATACCTTCTCATCTCCTTTGCAATCTGGGCTGCCTTACTGGGTTCAAACATCGTGCGGACATTCCATGTCCCCACGTTTACTTTCGCTTTCATCGAGAGAAGACACATCGGCCAATTGGCTTCCCGAAGGCTTTCACCAACTGGCGTCATTTCGCCTCTCCGATTCCAGCGGGGAATAAGTTTGTTTTCATTTTTTATATTTTGTTTGTGCTTTGAAGTTTCTTTAGCGGTTAGATTTGTTTTACGGGGTAGGGTTGCTAGCCCTATGCCCAACCTTCCCTCTTTACCCGGGCTTAGGACCGGCTAGTAACTAGTAAACTAGTTAACCAGGCGAGGTTATGCTTAATGCATGAGGCCAAAGTATATGGAGTACAGTTTGAATCAAGCAACGATTACTTAAAAGACAAGTATTTATTCAAGCAAATGAACCACACCGCCACTGGTTATAGTTTCACAAGGACTAACAAAGATGTAATCAGAGTTAAATTTCGTAAATGCACAATGAAAACTTGTAAGAAGGAATACAAATGATGAAAACATACTGATACAAGCAGATATTTGAAATTTAAAAAAAATGGACAAAATGTAAAAATGTATTACTAGAAGTGGTTTTACATCACATACAATGACTAATACAATCATATGCGATAATCTATATAGAACGAGAGAAATCGAAGTCAAAATGCATTCACCAACCTCGTGCACATTTATGTAGCAGGCAATGAGGCAATTACCAATTGTATGAGGGTTAGTGATACTACCTGGTTGCCTAAACCTCAGTAGGTGGAGTGATATTCGAACCCGTGACGGATTAGTTGAAAGTCAACTTCCTAGACCAACGGAACCACATCTCCACAAAGGGGTAACATGACAATGTAAGATAAAAAATACGCACATGATGAACGTCAATTTTCTCTAAGTACATTTTCTGTATTGTACAAACGGCTTGCTAAAAATTAACTGAAGTCTTGATGAGGTTAGTGCTGAAGATATCACGAAGCCTGGTTATGAAACATCCACAAAAAAATATCAAAGCTCAGGGAACACTAAACCACCACCAACATCATCCTGAGCTATAAATCTTTCCCATCACACTACGTGTAAAACATAAAACAGGGTTAACATCTATAACAACCAGCACGTTACATTTAGCTGCAACTTACTATAGTGAATGTAACAGTTAATTGTGGTATGACAGGACCGAAACGTCGATGTCTTCTCACCGGAGGCTGATTCTCTTTATCAGTCAATTGATGTAATGTGCATATTATCTATATTTAAAAGCATAATATATCAGTGGGTCAGTTTGTTTTAGTGAAATGGATAAATTACATGTCTTCGTAATGAATAACAAGCACAGAAGTTGAATACATTCATAATTATACTTCGAGTAACTCAGTCAAAGTAGTATAGATCATACAACAACACGTATTATGTGTTTTCTATAGATTTCGCAAGAAGTATCCAATTCAAAAAGACACGCAAAGTTGGTCATTGTTCGAAAGCCACCATTATCCTCAGAGGTTTCGGTATTGGTGATTTGAATGAGCAGGATTTTTGACTAGAGACATAAGTAGAAATGTTTTTATAATTCTGTCGGTTATAACTAGCCTTTTACCTTGAATCTCCTGTAACCCTATTGATTTGAAGAATAAACATGTTTTCATATCGGATTTGTTAGTCGCTTAGAATAATCACACTCAGAAAAAATGTTGCTTAAACCTTACTGAGTATATACTGTTAACCACACCATTATATTCAGCTGGTTGGATAGCAGACATTTACGAGTGGAATAGTACAAGCCATTTTAAACATTAGTTACCAGATGGTTATCAATGTAGACTTTAAGTTCTAAACATTGATGAAAGTTTATCGACTATATCTGTAATGTGATGACGAGGCTGAGTGATATGAAATGACGGTAAACTTGGCTTGAAGTTGTGTGTTCCGAGTTAACTCATAGGGGGATAGGATTTTGATTTGTCAATGCTTATAAGTGAACCCTATCTATGTACAAACCTAAGAAAAGTCATTCCTCCCCTGGAAATTCAAACTTGATTGCAGTACTGAATGATGGAAATTGATCAGATAAACTATTTAGATTGCACGATATGCCGAATGGCCTTAAATGATTGAAAATAAATGAGGGGGTAATGGAAGAAAAAACTATTGATTTAGCAAATAAACATGTGGGGAAATCTAATTAAAATGATTGATTTCCCATTTTAACGGTCTACGTTGACATTTTTCACAGCTGAGTTTTTCAGCTGCTTAGCTCAACTGTGGTGTCAACAGAGTTTTCGCTGGAAACCACTCAACCGAGATCACAAGGTGAGATCTTTGACACAGAAGTGTCAGTAACTAGAGTAAGACACTACTAATGATCAAACTAAGTAGTTAGAAGCCACTCAGGGTGGTCGGTAGTGTTTGGCCAGTCAGATCAAAGTGAAACCATATGTGCAAGTTGATCAATATACTTTAAATATGCCGGTTCGTGTAAATCAGCTAGCCAGATTCAGGTGTTGTGAACTAATTCAGCTTTATGAGGTGAGTTTGTCCAGGCACATAGCTGATGAGCTCAGTACCAAACGAGCGAAACAGTCGTCTGGTGCTTAGATTACTCTTATCTGACAGGTGAAATATTCAAGTTGTTCAGTTGTAGTATCTTTCGAGGTAACTTAATGTCTAAATTTATCTGTTTGTTACTTTTGACTGGAGACTTCCGCATGATAGATGTTAAATTAAATGTGATCCCCGTCACTCCACTGAATGGAGAACAACTATGACAGTTTTTAACTTGTATGTCTTACTGTTCAGTGCTGAACTTCGACTAAATGAACGCTGTAAATCTTACCCTACTGAGTTCAACAGCTTAGAATTCATTAATGACCACAGTCGCATCCTCATTTTGTCTTTCCACGGTTATTTACCTATTATGCTCAATATAAACTTCAGACAAATGGAAGAAATAAGACATAGAACATGTTCCTCAACATAAACTTGGTAAATTGAGAAAAATACAATTTTTTAACAATTGGAAAAAAATAAATTCGTACGAAGATAACACAGGAAATTTATTGACTCAAGTTAATGAAGTAGGCGAACTGGGTTGTTCTCAACATATTGACTCAGTTGTTTCAGGGAAAAAAACAATAAAAATAAGCATATAAGGGACTTACTGAATCATGATCACACCATTCATAAGTTCCTTCCAAGAATGTACCAGAAGCAGCTGTTTTTCCAATAGCTTGACAATTGTTATTATCATTGTTGTTTTCAGTAAGACTGGCATCTGTTGATAACTGGTGCGACTTACTTAACACAGCCACAATGGAAGATGGATCAGAAGGTGCAGTAAACATGCTTATCTGATTAGTTGACGCATGAAAACGTATACCTCGATAGTATACAACCTCGAACACAGGTCTGTAAGATGAGCCAATCTCCGGTTCTCCTGTCCTTACGTAGGTTACACGACAAAGATAACATCCTAGTAAATGAGTACATGAAAAACTAGTCAAAAGCAATGTTATGCATATCTACAAAGGGCGCAACTAGGTCTTAGAGTAGAATACAAATATAACTGAGTAAAACACACGTATATAAATTAAGACTGAATTATTATACCTGGTGGGTAATACTTAACGATATTACGTAAGAATAACTAAAGCAAAGTATGTGAAGCTTGTTTCGAAAAGACTAAGTACATGAAACCACCTAACTACAACTATGTAGGAGGGTATAAAATGCAGCAGCAACGTACATGAATTTATCGGTCCAAAGAGAATGGTATAAAATGGGATGTTTTGGTGAATTTGTTAGATATACTGTGGGAGTCGTGTTGGGAATTTCTAAATAAAAAAACATTCCTGAATAACTGTGATCTGAATTTACATGCTCCTATGGATAAAAAAAGTTTATCTTCCCCGCTTATATTTAATGTGGCGGTAGGAAAAATATTCTTCAAGCTTCTTTAAAAACAACTGGTTAGTGCTAGTGAAACAATGTCTACCGTACACTGCAAAGTTATAAATAACGTCTTTTCTACAACAATTTATAGATCTGTTACACTTTTCTTGACAAACTTAGCTAGATAATCAGCAAGTCAATGTTAACGTATTACTTGACATTACTATGTAATAACTCAAGTTGTCACATCTCGCGTCACCACATCAGGGAGAAAGTAATTAAAAGTAGAAGAAAGTCATGAGGGGAGAGGAGGGACTGAACCGTAACGAAATTCGACATAACGACTAAGACGCAAAAAGTGAGCGGATGCATACGTAAGATTTATCAGATTTTGTATACTGTTGGAAGCGTGCAAACGGTTTGTACTTCCCAGCTGCTGGAAGTTAAATCAAAAGGCTACCTGGAAGAAAAAAAATTGGTTTTGCATGATCACAAAGCCCATAGTACATTCGTTTGAGGACTGTTGTTTTAGGATTTAATTGTTCTAATTCCTGACAAGAAAAGCCCATACCACCGGCATCGAAAGACTACAGGATAGGGAAGAGAGTGTTCTATTTTTATGACCGATCTTTCAGTACGGTAACTTCTGGTCATCTACAAGGAACACCTTACTGCCATAACACTCCCATTCAGCCAATAGTATAACTTCGCCATCGGATTCTCGTCACAGAGTAGCTAATCAACGTTATAACAACAACTACCTTTTGTTCTACCATCATCCAACAAACCTCTTTGGGATAGTAGGACCTCGAGAACAAAGCCAACCAGCCGGCATAGGTGACATGTAAGCTCGACCATCATGTTAAGGTAGCAGCTATCAATAAGGAAAATATATTTAAGCGAAGAAATTATTTCAACTTTATATCTCTGTATAGCTTTCCACTGAACAGAAGTTATACATGGCAAGTCGATTATAATTTTCATTTTGTCAATTGTGGAATGCATATTCAGCTGGTCTTTTGAAACAATGATTAACACATTAATTGTGTATACAAGATACTATAAATTAAATTTTATCTTGGTCACTTCTGTAAGAAAAACAAACTTTCTGTTTAAATTAGTGATTCTATAGGAATAGGATTATGTGAAATGTCATAAATAAAAAGAAATAATGAGTGGCTTATACTAAGTACGAAGATCAATGACTCGTTTATTCACTAACTTTTTTTGACTGGTGTTCAATATCTATTAACACTGACATTATCTTAGTGATGAGGTTGTTGTGTAGACAGTACATTTGCCTAGTAAAATGAGCTCAATTGGGTAGGAACCTTTTTTTATAAACGCTTTAAATAGGATACAATATGATTTCCGTTGTGTACTACTGTAGTGGGCATTGCTGATAACAACGGATATAAATAGTATATGTCGAGAGGGTGGCAGGAATCATAAGGAATTACCGGCAATGGGTAAGGTTTCTGCCAAGAGCAACGCAGGGGATAACACAGGTGTGTATTACAGGGGATGCTGCTGATAAGAGTGTATGAAGAGCAGGTCAAGAGCAAATCAAGACAGGAACGGAGGAGGAAACGAAGACATTTGCAAACGGCTGGGTTAGTGCAAGGTGTACCATATGTAACCACTACCATTCCAATTGTTCGTAATAAACATTCTCTCGTCGAGTTGTCTTCTGTCTCTTCACTACTAGTGATAATTAGGGTCAGCTTGAGTCATATTAAATTCAGAGAATCTGATAAGTCCTCAGGCTAAGCAAATACATTAAGATTATAGTAAACAAATTTCATTTCATGTATGATGTAACATATTCGAACAATTAAAGAGACATATGTCATTATAATACCATGAAATAAAACTTGTGGTCGATAGATTGCCATCTCCCGCCAAGAAGTGTAATGCATTGGAGAAGGTGTAGGAATCATTTGATTTGATATCAATCTATTATTACAGGCAATATCATATGTCATCCATATTGGCCATAGTTTAAAACATACATCTCGCCATATTGAATCGTCATTGGCTAGAAGATAGAAACCACGGCATACCTGTTCAGAATAATCAGTGTATACACAAAACGTATGATGAATAGATAATCAAAGCTAGAAAATAAAGCAAACTAAATTGATTACTGAAAAATAAGTCTGAGTAATAAACACATAAGATTTGCATTAATGGTCATGGGAGAGCAACTAATTTCATGTTGTCCAGTCCTGAGTGGCCACATTGCAAATATGAACGGTAGGAGTCAGTCTGCACTCAGGACTCGATAACAAGAAATTGGTTGATCTCACGTGACCAATCAATGCAGTCTTACTGGAGGTCAATCGTGACCCGAATAGCTCAGTGGTAAAGCTACTGGCTACAACACTGAGTGGCAAGCGTTCGAACCCCAGGCGGGACATCAGTTCCGTCGACGTTGCAGATACACCTTGCTGACGAGTGTCAACAACCACGAAACCTGGATCCGGGGCTTCCTGTCGATTGTCTCCAACCAAGTAACACACTAATGTGCACCGCGGTGCTAAGCCTCCTAGCTTGGTGGCCAAACTGCAAATATGATCGGTCTGCACTCAGGACTCAACATGAAATTGGTTGCTCTCCCATGACCAATCAATGCATGTAACCGAGTCCCACAGTAGGTCAGTCGTGACCCGAATAGCTTAGTGGTAAAGTTATGGGCTGCAACATAGGGTGATGCGGGTTCGGACCTCGGACAGGACATCAGTCCCGTTGAGGTTGCAGATACGCTTTGTTGACGAGTGTCAACAAGCACAAAATCTAGGGCTTCCTGTCGGTTGGCTCCAACCAACTAACAAATAAGATCTATTTATTGTGAAAAAGAAAAGAACGGGTAAGTCAGTAGACATGGTTGTGAACCTTCATCAACTGAGATGGTTGGGAAATGTGCTACATACGCCTAGTCGCCGATTGCCTCGTCACACAATGTTGGCCGAAGTGGGTTCAAGCTGGAAAAAGGCTCGAGGTGGCCAGACTAAACATGGCATCAATGTATGAAGTCTTTGGCTATTGGTTTGAGACATGTGGGGCGACGTAGACTAGCCGGCTGGGTCCGCGGGACAAGACGGATCAGTGGTTGGAGACTCTAGGTGATATGACTCAGAACCGATGTCAATGGCGCAGATGTACACACACATTATCCTCAGCTTAACGACGCTATACCGAATCTCACCATTTTCTCATTCTTCCCTTCTCTCTTTTCGTACTTTATATTTCTTTTGATTGAATTTTCTTACCATCTTCTTGCATTTCACTGCTTTTTTACTTGATGTACTGGTATGAGTTGTGGCAACTTTGACCGTTACGCAGTAATGCCTGGTCCTATGTTGATAGATGGTGATGGTGAGAAAGAATAACAGTGAAACTGCCATTTGTAAAAACATCGTTATCCTTGCATGCCTTAACAAACTCTACTCCACATAAAATAAGTGTATGCAAGATTCAGTACTTGGAGATATAGGTGAAATGTGACAATGAAGTTATACTATGGTTTTTTCAGTTCTGATAGGCACGTCAAAGAGATTACACTTTGTGAAAAAATCATTTTGGCTTTACAAAAAGCATAGGGCAGTTTCATTTAATTCTCGTATTGAACAACAGGCCTTGCAACTGTTTACTTTAAGTATTTCCAACTCAGGTATGTAGCCAGAATGAGGGGATTTGAACTAAATCAATACAGGTAAATTTTTGATGAGCTTGGTTCTAAACAAGCGAAATGTTTGTCTATAACTTAGATAGATAAAATTTAATAAGGAACTAGGGAAAAATGGTGAGAGCAACTTCAAGCTACTCATATCGATCTGCAGGAATCACTGCAGCACAGTCGCCAGCGAAATAGAACGTTTAGGTTGTCTAGTTAGTGTCTTTTAGAAAGTGAGGTAAACAACACTACAGCATTGTGTTCTGATAACCAGCAGTTATCTTTAAAAATGTGTATTAAATCGACCTCCGTAATACATAATTACAAAAAAGCACAATTAAAAATCAACTAACATGAGGTGTTAAGTTTGACGCAATGAGATACTATGTAATTATTCAAGGGTTTTCGAAAGCCATTTGTAGAATAACTGATTCACAGCTGAAACATACACTGCAGAGAATAAACACTTAAATGCACCCCATCTAGTGTTCCTCTTTTCACTTTGCACGTATTTCTCGATTCACGCCTTTAATTTTGTTTCTTATCCGGTAAACAAATAACAAAATCTCGTTAGACATAGGGCTAAAGTTGCTATACGTATGATATCGCGTTTAGATTGGCTAGGACGAACAATAAAAGATAAGCAAGCGTTAGGACTGGGCTGATATATACATTCTGTAGTTCATATGAATTTGAATCGATCGTTTGTTATTCATAAACCTTCAGGTACAAAGTTAGTTAACCAGTACGCAGAACTCCCCAGTCCTAGCATGCTACACTTCGTGGTACTCACCAAGGCAGGATATTTGCAACATGAGGAATTCATCTTCTACTTGAATTTCACACCTGCATCATTCAGCGTGACTTAATAACCTGCCAAGTGAGTCATTTGGAGAGGGGCGCGGTATAACTGACTTTTCTGAAGAATCAGATTAAGAACACTAATCTGTCATCAGATGGGAGTGTCGATGTCGTATCCCGCAGTGAATAGCTAAACGATGACATCTCTGACTGAGATTATAGCATAGTTTTCTTGGAAATTAAAAGTAAACGATAACTATGACTTCGGTTGACAGCTTGCTGACAAATACTTTCCAACATAAGATGGAATACGATGCATTGTAGTGTTTCTAGTTACAGTGAAGACGGGTAGGCAGAAATCCTTGGCAAACAGGCATGTTTCAATACTCAGGATAATAACGGCAGATAGTGCACTCTTTTAGCCATCTCATGTGACAATATGATTTATCGCAAGACTAAAACGAATAAAGCAATCATTACTAGTTGTATTACGTGTTTCAAACCTCATACATATAGTCTTCAATCTATGAATAAAGCATCAAAAAAACTCACACGAGCCAGTATACCCAAAACTCGTATATCCAAGTGGCTGCCAATGGTCCATCGAACGATTCGTAAAAGCAATTCAAATGGCAGTGCGGAAATATGCGTCGACTACAATAAAACACATAAAGCATTATGGTTGACCTTTAGCCGAAACTGAAAAGTGCACCAATGAAAAGTTTGTGCATTGTAGAACAGATTAATGTATTAATAAATATTTCAACTGCTAGTGTGATCACGGGCAGTAATTTTGCTCGAAATATTACTAAAATAAAAACGTTAATGTAAGTTTTGCATTAAAAATTTACATGAAAAGTACACAATCCCTGAATACCTAAACTTCATGGGTAAACTAATTCGGCATCATGTCAGCTGACAAATTTATACTTAATAAACGTTAAAAAAAAGAAACTTTAAAATAGCACCATTACAAATAAGGAAGTCACATGATGGAAGTTATCAATGAAACTTAACAGTGCAGCGAAACTATGACTGTAGTCTCATCTTTATAGTCATAGTAAAGCAAAATAGTCATAAGTCGCTAGTTAACTAACAAAAACAATTTCACCGAATCCCTAACAATAATCTTCAACCTGTAGTTCCAGAAAATTTGGATAAATAACCACTACTAGGTTTTCATCGACGAAAACTGAAAATTTCAGTCATGAAAAAGAATGCGAGTGTACATATCCCTATAGTCTTAATTTAACGAGAGGAAATCAATCGCCAAAAACAGTAGTTCTTTAAATGGTATCGTTTTATGATGGAAACTACTTTCTCAGTTCATTATTTAATCTCAAAAACCGCTGGCTTGAATAATTAAATGAGTTATTCAGTCAGTAGATAGAATGTTAAAACTAATCTATGCAGGTGCAGAGTTTGTTTGGTTGTGAAGACCAGTCCTCTTCACCATCAATTAGGATTTAACAGCTAATTGATTACTATCTGAAGTACTTCCTAATGTAATATCTAATTTGTTTGCAGTCCATTAGATTTCAGCTAATCGAATGAATAAAAACAATGCTAATTGCCCTTCAAAGAAGTGACATGCAGTAAAAGTTCCACACTTTTATTCTACCATCCAACTCGTGTAGTAGGCTTTTTCACCCCTTTTTGGTTTCACTATTATACTTATGGCGACGTAGGTTGAACACGAGATCTTGACTGTTATGATACTTGTGATTTCCCGTTGCTGTACAAGGCTGAATACGCTCGATCTCTGTTGGCAGATGAACTCCTGTGCGGATGCCTCGATATTGCCGGATATTCATAACGTTATGTTGATCTTGACTTTTGAAAATGGCTTTTATGATGAACTTTAGCCATCTATTTTGGCCACTGCGAGACTTAACAAATATCGAAGTGGTTTGTGCAGCATATAACCTATGAATAACGAAAGTCAAGAGAACAACTACATAAGAATGGCTTTAAACCCAAATCTAGCAACCGCTGAGACAACCGATTGCGGTTCTTCATTTTGTGAAAAACTAACTTTAGAGCCAAGATAGTGAAACCTGATTGGTTATTTCAGTAGTTGCTAGGGTGGTCTTTAAAGTCAATCAAAATTTGTGACAACCAATTACGTAGCTAGAGTGACCCTAGTATCTATCATAGACTGAAATAATTAACTAAGCGCCTTTCATTTATGAAAATCTGTGTTTTCGACATAAACAGAGGAACGTAATGGGTTAATTTTAGTCGTTGCTGTGGTGGCATTTAGAAACCTGATTGGCTATTTCAGCAGTTGCCAGAGTAGGTTTTAGAATCACTCTCGGAATAATATTTAACTGTTGGTTTTGATCTGAAGAGACTTATGACCTCGTTGATAAAATGGCCACCCCGGCAACTGTTGAAATAGCCAATCAGGTTTCGGTATTTCATATGCGTAGTGTTTATAAAATAGAGTGATTAAAGTCACTCGTAAAAGTGGCCGCCCTAGCAACTGCTGAGATAACTAATTAGGCTTTTAATCGTATGGAAAACCAGAAAACCGAAACTTGATTGGTCATTTTAGGAGTTGCCACGGTGTCACCTCAGGAGAGAATAACAGCAACTGAAATGATCAATTAGATTTCGTGATTTTATAAAAACTTGGCCCTCCAGACAAAATAAAGAAATGTAATTAGTTATTTCAGTCGTTCCTAGGATGGTATTTAAAGTCGGACGACTTTAATGGCCCCCCTAGCAGCAATTGGAATAACCAATCAAACTTCCCTATTTTATGGAAACCTGCCTTTCCAGCCGAAATGAAGCTTAACTAGTTATTTCGATCATTGCCTTTAAAGTCAAGCCAACTGGGTGCTTTAAAGATCAGCAACTGTTGAGATAGCTAATTACATACTTTAACTCCAGGTAAGATACAGAAGGCTGATTAATCATTTCAGCAGTTGCTAGAGTGGCCTCGAGTAACTCTAATGGCCACCCTAGCCATGATCGAAATAACCAATTACGTTCCTTAATTTTGGCTGGAAAGTCAGGTTTCCATAATCTGGAAGAGTCGGATTGCGTATCTTAGTTGTTGCTAGGGTGGCTTGTAATAGAGCCACTCCTTAAAATGGATCATCGTTTTATTTTCGAGCAAATCCTCTCTAAGCCTTTTAAAACATATTTGCATACCGATCAATTACATTGACAATAGTTATTGTCCGAGTGACTTTAAAGGTCACCCTAGCAATTGATGAAACAACCAATTTCGTCTCTCTATTCTATGAAAAACTGTCTACTCAGCCAAATACAACAGCCTGATTAGTTATTTTAGCAGTTGATAGGGTGACCTACCTAGCCAGAAAGCTGTCGGATATGAAAACAGATCGTAGTCATGAGTCATCCTATCTTTTTTTAAAATAAAGCAATGTAACTCATTAAATCCGACCTATGTTGAGGTACGAGGCTGTTTAGTTAAGCACACTCGTCACGCGAATGCTTAAGATACTTTCCCATTGCCCACACCAAATTGGGTTTTATGGGGTTTGGACCTGAGACCCATCGCTTGAAAGTTCCTGAACCAATGTACCAATAACGCGCTAATTATCTCTTGAAGGCTTATGCTTACAGATGCAAACTGATTTTTTTTTGGTTTAGATTTATTTTAGAAAAGAGGTTCTATATCATTTCAAAGACTGGTAATGCAAAATCATGGAAGTATAATGCAAAAGCCGATTTTTCTATTCAAAGTCACGTGCTTGATCTAAAACATGGACAAACATGTCGAAATTAATGTGTACAATTTATTTCGACTTTATTCTTCCATTATGTTCAATCAAAATACTTAAATTCCCAGAATCACTCAAATGTACAATTGTGCATTGACCAAAACGTCAAATAGAAGTGAAATGATAGCCTTAGGCTATCACCCTGCAAGTCTTCTGAGACACTGAAGTGACTGACAGAATAATACGAGATATGAAAACGCTATTATCGTAATGAGATACTTGAACCGGATACGAATAGAGACTGATCTCCCTCAGACTTGATACTTCAATGGGTCATGAAAATCAGAAGGCAAAGACCGGGCAGTGACTGTAAGGAAGACACTTTACTAGACATAAAACACATCATTTTTATGCCGTTTTTCCTCAGAAAATAAAGCCACTAGGTCATAAGTTGAATACTTATTTTCACTGGTCAGGACAAAGTTGTCCAATAAGGTTTCCCCTGCCCCCAAAGTAACATGAAACAAGGTTGAAGTCCAAAAGGTTTTAGTGACTGACTGATGTCTTTGAATGTTGATTTAGATTTAGGCCACTTCTTATCAGACACGATCATTTCGAACAGTTAGTATATTGATAGTTGTGAAGAGCTAATAAGAAGAGTGAACAGCCGAGACATGAAAAAACAGGAGAACTAAGCATTAAATAATAGGTTAAAGCGAAATGGGGATATGTGTGGAGTTACATGTGACTACGATCGACTTCATTAAATGCTTTCAACCTCCGATTTCTGCTCGGTTGTTTGGCCACCTTCGAACTTAATCCACACTACTACTATTGGCATGCAGCATTGAAGTAGGTGGTGATTTAATGTACATATACGAAAGATAACCTGGCGATTCTTGTATATCATTTTATTCGTAACCTCCACTGCGAATATTGAGAGCTTTTCACTAGTCATCTGATTATTAAGAGACTCACTTTGTGAAGATTAGAAAAAAGTAGAAAACCGCTGAGCAACCTTGTGCATATACGTGCGGCACATAGTGAGCCACACCTAGTGTGTAAAGAGTAGTGATACTAACTGGCTGCTCAAGATTCGGTAGGTGGGGCAGGGCTCGAACTCGTGACCCATCGGTTGAAAGTCATCTACCTAAACCAATGAGCCACGCCTCTACTCAACGGGAATACTTGATCACTTTACAGAGACAACTTTAGTATGTAGTATGCCTAGAATTAGAAAATAATTATTCAATCACACTAAGTATGTGCATTAAATATCTCGTTTTCCTGTTTAAACATATGTATCGACAATCTGAAGGCTGGTTTTAAACGGCTTTTTCAAGAAACAAGCTATTACCTGTCGCTGCAATTATGTAGGCTGGTTCAATACGAGTTAAAGTAGGTACAGAAGTTAACAGGTAAGAATTACAAATATTTTGCAACTCAAAACGTAGATCATCGATAGTTAATAAAACCTTTTTTCAGAACATTGAAAATTCCTATTTAGACAATTAGAGAAAAGACTGATTGAGCGAAGATATATATTCCTCTTCAATAAGATCTTCGTCTTTGGCCCTATATATATATATATATATATATATATATATATATATATATATATATATATATATATATATATATATATATATATATATATATATATTAGTCAAAATGCCAATCAAGCAGTGGGAAGGGCGGGGTTGATAAACAGTGATTATAGATTTTAAGTAAGTCACATGATGATAATTTTTTGACACTGTTATATTGTGGAATAAGATTACCAAAATCTTCATGTCGTAAATTCCTGAAGCCTCTTTCAACCAATCCTTTTGTTGCGAATTCTCAGGAAGAAACATGTGAACCAACGTGTAGATATCAAATTAGTTGAAGAGACGAAAACCAATAGGATATTCAAACTTGGAAAGGTCTGGAAATAGACAAAGCCACTGTAAATATATAAAAGCCTTGTATTTTGTACATATATTTGACGTTGCAATACACCTCTTTTATGACCTCTTATTACATTTAGCGAGAAACTGAGCAAACGGCAAGAGGTGGAATCTGAAGGTTATTGTCAAAGGATCAATAAATACATAATTCAAGTTATACCAAGCAGTATTTATTGGTGTACTTGTTATTCTCTGTTGTTTTATTGGACCGAATTGTTCGACTTCTATTGGCTTATGGCCTCCTGTGTGGATGCCTCGATATTGCCTGAATGGTAATTATGATCATTTGCTTGGTTGTGGCTAGCAGAGGAATTCAGGACGCGTGTTTCGTCCAACTTAGGACTCGTCAGCTGGATGTACCTGCACCTCAGTGAGTGTTGTTCTCACTGAGACTCGACAGCAATAAATAATACCCATTGTACAAGATGTGGCTATCGCACCTCTGTGGATAACGCCTTGGCGTTTGCGGCAATGGGTACGAGGTTCGAGTCCCAGTGGGAACAATATCGCTCACCGGGGTGCAAGTACATCCAGCTGACGAGTTCCAAGTAGGACGAAACGCGCGTCCTGGATTCTCCTGCCAGCCAAAACCAAGCAAATTATCATGTACCAAGCAGTCACTATAAGAATATAACAAGTGACAACAAATGTATAAAACGTGGCGACGGGGTTATAACAAAAATCAAGATGTAAATAATCAACAGAGTAATTATGATTAAAAATGGTAATAATCATATGAAACATGTATAATAACTGTCAAAGTAAATGCAGGGTTTTCATATCGAGTGGTCGTTCGTAAAAAACGCAGTGGCTGAATGGTTAACGCGTTCGCTGGGAATACTGAAGGTCCTGAGTTGGACCCCCTAGCTAGACCGTGGGTACGTACTGTTGAGGAGTTGCATACTGGGATGAAACAGCTTTCCAGTGCTTCCAGGTTTTCAATGGTCCCCCAACTGATGTCAGTCCATGATGAATACTTCCTGAAAATTAAAATCCCCACTCATCTCAAAAATAAATAATTACCTAAGAATAAGAAAGCAAAGGAGAATTGATGTTCTGCCATTTCCATGTGCAATTATAAATTCAACTGCTCCGGTGGAGCTAGTTACATTGGGCGAACACGATGAGGTAGGTTCATCGTCGAATTTCTGAGCACTACCTATCATGGTTGAATAATAAAGATATCCATACTTGCACACTTGGTTGACCCTGGACATCAAGTGGATACCAGAAAGGCATTCAAAATGGCTCATCGTATACCAATAAATTTACGACAGGGATTACGCATTCGCTTACTTCAAATAGCAGAGGCGATTTAAAAACCTGACCTTTGTTTTCGAAAGAGGTTTGTCCAACCACTTTCATTATCGTGGTCGTCAACATCATGTAACTTTGAGTATTACAGAATACACCTCTTCTCCCTTTGTTCTATCAGTATTCATTTGCTTTCTTATTCTTAGGTAATTATTTATTGTTTATGAATGGCCACTCGATATGAAAGCACTTCATTTACTTTACCAGTTACTATGCAATTCACCTAAGAATTACTTGTTTCACATTATTATAATTACTATTTTTAGTCATGTATATTTACTTTGTTGATTATTTGCATCTTGATCTCCCAAACTTATCATCTTCATGTGATTTACTTAAAATCATTAATTATTGTTTATCAACTCCCTAATATTTGGTTGGTTTTTTGATTGGATTGTAAACTTGTAATATTAGTGTAGAGCTAAAGACGAAGACCTAATTGAAGAGGAACATTTTTTCGCTCAATCAGTCTTTTTCTAAAACCTTTATTCTCTTTTCTGCTCTCAATGTTTTCCGACCGAATAAATTAGATATTATGGGGAAATTATCTCGAATACAAAACATTATCCATATGAAGATACTTACTGACGTATTTCTGTCCAACGGTTGCAGATACAGACCATTATACTCAGAGTTGTTATGCACACATTTTATGAAAGCACCGCATAAATTGGATTTAGCGTCCTTTAGCTTTACTGAAAAATAAAATAAAAAGTATGGAGTAAATGAGCAAACAAAAATGGTGTACTGAATCATCCGGAAATTGGAAACGTTTATTAGGATGTAAAATGGACAAATTCGTGAAAGTAAAAGTACTCTTGAGACTAAAGAAACATAAGAATTTTTTTGCCACAAGATACCTAATCGTATGAATGATGAATGAGCAAAAGAAATGTAGTTATTTCACCTACAGCAGTGACTCATTAAATAATTTTCTTGCCCAGTTGCTGATGTGGTGTATGTTTACACGGACATGGCTGATTTCTGATACAGACAGACACGATCAACGTAAAACCTCGCATACAAGTGCATCACCACAGGTTGTCACACTTCATAGTAGGATACACAGAATAAGTAGAAAGAAGACTGATAACAAAGACGGAAGTATGTGTAAGAATAAGCAATTTGGAGACAAAGGTTACTGCAAATATCCAAGCGTTTAAGACGTCAAAGAGTGAATACATTTGCACCGCTGAGACCGGATTTCAGCCACGTTACAAAACGTTCTGAACCATTGATTCCTATCGTTCGGCGACCCCAACTACGCAGTCTACGTCTCCCCACACGACTCAGACTAACAGTCAGAGATTTCATCGACTGGTGCCACGTCTTGTTCTGGCCAACGTGAACCTTCTTCCAACTTAATTCAACTTTCTCTAGCATGGCATGTCGAAGTAGGTGATGACTTGGCATGTGCAACACATGTCCAAGTCACTTCCGTCGCCTTGCCTTTCTGGTCTAGTACCCTTCATCTGACCTAAACATTGCACATACGGTGATTTCACTGAACACTAGCAATGGTACGAAAACATCTGGGATGAAAACCCTGGAATTCTTTCGTGTCTTCTGATTTTAATGGGCATTCCTCACAGTCGTATAACAGGACAGAACGGACTTCAGTGCAGTATACTCGTTCTTTTATAGAGTCAGATATTTCACCAGTTGGCGCCACAGATGATTTAAGTTGGCAAATACTAAACAAGCCTTCTGTATCCAAGATGAGATTTCGTCAGTAATCTCCCTGTTCGGGCTGATGCGACTCCCGGTCGGTAGCTGTTACTTTGACATGGTGGTCTGGCTTGCATTTCAAAATGACTCAAGGAGATATACACTGGTTGGAAGGATTGTTTTCTCCAGGTCCTATCATGCCAGAAAGATTTGTTGGATAGTAGTAAGACGAAAAGCAGTTGCCATTGTAGTGTGAATTACTACACTATGATGGGGGTCTGAGGGCGAAGCCGTACTGCTGCTAGCTAGATGGGGTGTGACAGCAGTAAGGCGTTTTCCTCGGATGACCAGCAGTGCCACACTGATGCCTTTCCAACGGGAATGGGGGATTAGAGAAGGTCGGTCAAAAAAGATTACACTCCTCCAGTCTTCCGGTGCCAGCGGCATAGGTTTCCTGTATCTGGCGTCAGAACAACCAAATCTAAAAACAACAACCCACAAAAGGCCATGTGTAACAGGGCTCAAGCAAAAGTCCCATAGGCTCTATGGTCACAAAGATCTTTTTTCTTTCCAATTTCTGATAATGTTGCATGAAAAGTTTGTACATCTGGAAGGTTTTCTTAATTCCGGGAAGACATCTTTCCCAACAAATGAGCTTATCTTCTATCGTTTACTTCGTTGGCTAAACGAAGAATTCAATCAGCCAAGGAAGATGACTTCTTTTAGATATACCCGCCGGAAGAAAATTCAACTAACTATGCGCCAAAATATTGTTGTAATTACAGATATACATATTCTATTCTTCCTTGGAATGATCGGACTTTTACAGGCTTGCTGTTACTTTACACAAGTGCATTAAGGTAGCTAAGCATCCGTACATATACCACGCAAATCATCTTAACCACTTTTAAACCAAGGACAAGTGAAGAGAATAATTTATAAGGTTTTACGTAAAGAAGAAGAGGTGTTGGTTTAGAATCTGTCAATGCATTACAACTCTATGTGTTGTCTTTAAGAGACCATACGAATCAGTGGCTTAATATGCTACTGGACATGGCTCAAAACGAAGGTTACTAGTAACCCCACTATGGTTTTTATGATTCATTTGCGTAGGTAGTAAGGTGGACTTTAGAGTATGATATCAGTAGAGATGGATTCCATCTTGAAAAAAAGTAGGGAAGACAAATCGGGTGATGAAAATATGGAATTACAAGCTTAGATGGTTAGCGTTATGCATACTCGGCTTTCTCTACATAAGACATTTTTAGATAACTGAAGCATTGTTCTTGGGGTAGACTGACAAAGAAATGATCACAACTGAAGAGATTACTGACTGATTGTCTATATCAGTGTAGGAGGGTGTTTGCTATAAATACTTCATAACGCAGAGTACGATAAACTGACTCATATACAGATGCTTATTACCAAAGTACACTAAAAAGTTTGTCGGAGCTCTCTAGACCTTTAAGAAAAGTAACTTACGATTCTTTTGAAAGAGACGAAGCAAATCTACACGTCCGTTCGTTGAAACTCGTGATTTTGAATCATCTGAATCCAATATGTACACAGAAGCACCAGAAGGAACTTGAGTCTTATTGACAGAATATCCTCCTGAGTTTGATAAGGAAGTTAGAGTATGCGGCTCTAAACATGGGCATTTTATGTTAGAAAATACAGCGTTACAAAAATATTAATTCACACCGTTATCTACATTCAAACAAATTTTACCCACTTCAAGTAGAGAACCAGCTATGGAAAAGTTAAAGTCAGATACTTTCAGTAAAGTAGCAATGAAGTGGATGGATGAAAATACCAACACCAGCTATTTCTAAGTGCTGCATATCATATGTGCCAAGTAAGTGTGAACTCACTTGAAAGATATTATTAGTTGTCTAATGACACCACTTTTACCCTTGAATACATTTATACCAGATAGATTATAACTAGTTATATTATATCGCGTTTAATATTTCTCATCAGCGTAATATTATTTAATTTAGTACATGGTGCCTGCTGTTAGTTTATTTATCTCACCTACTAGTGAATGTTTTGAAACCGTAACTGAAGTGCAAAAAGCCAGCAATCTGTCTCGCACGTTCAGTACTTGGTCAAATTCTAGCAATTAGGTCTACAAATCGATTATCACCCAATCCACACCTTGTGACAAGTTAAAAACTACTTTTAAAACAAGACGATCCTTACAGGTCCTCGCACGACTGCGCGGGTTGAACCTGTTGCTTATTGACCTATTTACTTGACTTTCAATAATTGGATCACTGATTTAAGCACTGATCCACCTACACAGACCTGGACAGCTAGGTAGTAATATTTGGCACATACAATAGGTGACTCACTGCTGAGTGCACGAACATGAAAGTTGTGGTTGAATTGTATTTCTGGATGTTTTGCAAAAATCTAACTTGACGTAGGAATCTGGTTGATAAACTTTTTTTATCGGCTGGAATTAAAAACATTTGTCAAAAGATGGGTAAATTTGTAGCTGGATGAAGAATCGAAAAGTTACTATGGGATAGTCAGTCAGCACCCTACTAATCACTCACACCATTTCTAATGAGAATTAAATGACTATTTTCAATTCTTAAGTGATAGGTTCACTGCGTACATTCCTTTGAGTCAGACATACCAGTGCCGGGCACTTGCGATGTTCTTTGATCTGAAGGCGGTATTAGATATCGAGATGCTGTGGTAGCGTCAGTGACCCACAGTCTCTCTACAAGGATGCAAAAAGGTCACCTGACTTTTGCGAACTTACGCTATTTATGGCGCTGCAGTGCTATCCAATTGTATATCAAGGGCAGTGCATTACACTGCAGTTCTCTTTGTTCTACTAAATGATCGTGAAATATGAACACCAGAGGTGAAAGACGTGAGAAGGCTATTTGTGTTTGACTACCGTTGCCTTTGTAGCACAAGTCATGTGTCGTAGTGCCACGTCAGTAATTCAGGTATAGAGACAGGCGGAACGGGGTACTCATTTGGTCAGATGGTGAGTCTTCATCAACTCACGTGGTTCAGATCATCAAGTGGCTTTCAGTAGAAGGACAGTTTTCTGTAGAACTCATCCTTTATCTTATCTGAACTGACGTTGGTGAGTATGTAAGTAGAGATTGCAAAGAGACAGCGGCAAGTTACACCATTCGTTTTAGTCCTTACTGCACCATTTAGTCGAACAGTGCTCGGATGACTGTCAACTGGGATTTTATTGGACAGTACACTATCTGCCCTAGTACATTGCTAGAATTACACCTGTACGATCACGACAGCTAGTCATCGGATCTTTAGAAATTCAAAGAGTGAATTTTGCATATTCACCGTATCGGTCATGTGAAGACAGGTGAATAACCACACTTGATTACTCTGTGGGTGCCTCGGAAACACAACACACGCCCATGGCTCGAGATGTCAGAGTTTTGGCCACCGAAGCTTGTTTTTTATTTAAACCGAGGATATGGACATTAAAAACTCTCTTGTATGCAGTTTGGAGTGGGGTTTCAGAAAACTAGTGATGCTTTTCCGCGAACTCGAATCGTTACCGAGGGCTGCAGAGCAGAATGGGGTAATCGGCGTAGGAATATTGACCAGGAGACGTAGATATATGTTAAAAGATACTGAAAGTTGGTAATGATCTGAGAGAACTAGTGTTGATAGAGTTGTGATGACGAATGACACTTACCCACTGGTCACATCATGAAAAGTTACTTCTCCTTGAAGTACCTGGAAGAAATCGTATGAGTTAATAGTGATGAGTGACAGTGGACCTCAAGGGACGTCTATTTAGGGCTGGTTACGTACACTCTCTTTTAAAGTTTGAGATTAAACTTCGGTTGTTCAAAATTTAAGTAGAAAACCTGTACCGCCGGGACCGGGAAACCGCAAGGTTGGGCGAGTGCGCTCTTTTGGGGACCGACCTATTTTAAGCCCAACTTCCTATAAAGATGGCAGTATCACCATGGACTGCTAGTCATCAGCGAGAAACAATTAACTGCCGTTGCATTCGATCCAGTCAACAATGTGATCACCTTCAGACGCCCATCATAGCGTAGCAGTTTACACTAAAGGTGGTTTTCTTTGACCACAAGCGCTTACCTGAATGGGGATTATTTTAATTTTCCTTCATGCTTAAGATAATTCTGGCTAGGACAGAGTGGTCAGAAAACGACATCACAAACCTATCAATATTTGTTTATCAGGTGGAAATTCTGAGACCGCCTAGGTATCTTCGGTTAAACCTTACAGGCTTACAATGCATCATCTGGCAGAGGAAGTTACCAGCAAAAGAGACTTGTTCAGATTATGTGCACGACTGAGGTAATTTAAGAACCCAGTACACTTAACATCTTACATTTTGAACTGCATTTTACATGTGAGAGCTTGTGATATATTTTCGTGCAGAATAAGGTACGTTGGATGAATTACGAATCCATAATCAAATGATTTGTAGTCAGGGACTATGACATGCAAGCTAGTTCTGATATACAACAGTTCAATTCACCGGTCATCGGTGATGAAGGTTCATCACCATTATACAAACGTTTTGTTTGTGTATGCTTCAATTTTTTCCAACATCGAAACAACTTAAACGAAATGAGCTCATGAAAAATGTGACTCATATATTACTAAGATGACAGGTCATCTTCGAAGTCACAAAAAAAATTCAAAAACCATAGTCGAATCAAACTTAGCGTGAGATTACGCTGGTCAACGACTGGAACTCTTTACTCGAACAATGTCGAAAAAAATCGAAATGTACTCAGCAGCCTTGTAAGCATTCGTGCAGTAGGCAAAGAGCCCTATATTTTGTGTGAGGGTTAGTGATACTACGTGGATGCCCAAAACTCGGTAGGTGGGGCGGAGCTCGAATTCTTGATCATTGGTTGGTACTCGAATAAATGGTATTAGCTCTTTTTTGAATGCGTTCAAGGAGAAACTAGACCTTCACAAAGACATTCATGGCAAGAAGTAACAGGGCAAATTAACGTGCAAACTTTATATATATATAGTTATGCTTCATACATGATTTGAAATAGATTAAACTGTTGCAATGGTTGAACGACCGAGGACTGTGTGATAGACTCAATGACTTGGTTACAGAAATAATGCTTACGACAAATATAAATATTGCCGATATGGACAGTGTACTACAGCTTTCTCAGGAGTTTTTGCCACAGTTACTAAGGAGCGTGGTAATTGCCCGACGAGAATACTAGGTAACGACACTTATTACCGTACTGGTCTTAAAGGGAACCTTATGCGTTGCGCAGACGCATGGTTGCAACGTGCTGACTTCCATACCATAGATAATACATGTGAACTTTGATGGTTTATCTGTCTCCGAAAGTTTAAGGTAGCAGCTGTGACCAATATTAGGTCGCACAATTGATCCGCATTTTAGCGGTATATTTATGATCGTACTAGGAAGCATAGGGATTTCAATGAATACTCCTAAGAAATTACTTCGGAGTTGACAGATATCTATGATGATAAGCTTCATAGTGAACGTCATCACAGGTTCATTGATGTCAAACCTGTAGCTACAGCTTGTGACACGCCTGTACGATCGTACAGAACATACGGCCAACCATAATGGCACTGCAAGTTATGATAAGTGTACTGTGAGGGAAATAAGCTTGACAGTAGGATGACTTATCTAAATGATGAGTGTCCTTTGAGGATAGATGCTGGATTCCGTCAACAACCTCAAAACATATATCCTGGTAGGTCGGGCCTACAGAATTTGCCTTTTGACGTGATCTTCGCTTTTCCTTTAGGCTGTATGCATTTGATTTACTTGGATTTGGTGAAGAAATTTATCAGTCTAGCTAGAATTCGCAGGTAGGAAGGAGAATAGACTGCATAAGAAAACCATACCGGCCTTAGAGAGTGGAATAAATTAAGTGTAAAGATATTAGACCCAAAGATTTCCAGAGGAAATGTTGCCTACTGAGTGACGCATCTACATGGAGGGCGATTGAGTGCCGATTGTTTCTTTTGTATTTCGAGGCAAGTCATCCTTAGTGAATTGCTTCCATTACCTGTGTATGCCAAATTTATGCACTTTTCTCTCAGAACATACTTGTTGTCCTATCCTAAGGTTTGTAGGCAATACTATGAATCCGTGAATCGTAGAATTTTCTTGTAGAGTATGAGGGTTTATATGGAAGGGGACATGTCACCTACAATATGCAATCATTGAAGCACATTACAGATGACATGCTTGTACATGGGAACCTAGACAATTTCTCTGCATTCATTTATTAATCTTACATGCAGAGAATAAGATGCTATCTGGGAAGTAGCAAAGCAGATGACTCAGCGTTATATGCTGAGCAAGTATACATGGAAGAAAAGCTTCACACAATGAAGCCCATTTCTGACATGGACGAGTGTAACAGAAGACCTTAGGAGCAGCACAACCCCAACCCTAAAGTACATGTCAAGCGCTTATACTCCCGATAACATTGTGAAAGCTAGGTGTCAACCTGGACTAGTTATTGACTTTATTGAACCGAGAAAACCATGTTTCTGATCACATAAGGACGCTGTCAATTCCTTCCATAAACCTTTCCCATCAAGTAGTATAGGTATATTTAGGTGTCCTACAGTAGGCCATGCACACAGATGCGTTTTCATAGATGACGTCATAGGTAAATGCATTGTGATTCCTTAAAATAACTACGAAATAGTTATACCGTTGCTGCATACATTTCAATGACGTTCTCACCGCTTGCCACTTCGTTCTCTTTCTAAACGAGGATTGTAATGTAAGCATGACACTCCACTACAAATAAACTTATATGAATGCTAGCCATTATTATGCATGATGAATTGCAATCATTAGTGGAGCTACGGCTCAGTGGTTAAGGGAGATGACTACTAAACATTGAGTCATGGGTCCGAGCTCCGCTCCACCTACCAAAGTTTGAGCAGTCAGGTACTATCATTAACCCTCACAAAGTTTGTGACTCACTGCCTACTGCACAGATGTGCACAAAGTGCCTGAGTGCGTTTCTTTCATTGCAGTCATTAGTTTTTCTTTTCTGCAATTACTCTCTTTAGCGCTCAGGCAAACGATTCATGGTGCTCGATATTCCAGGTGAAAAACACGTTGTCTTAGTGCTTTATAGATGGATGGTATCCAAGGATACATGTTTGTCCAGAGAAGGCATCATGGAAGAGGAAAAGTGATGACCTAACAACCGGATGGAATATTTAGTAGTGTTAAGTTACTATGGAGTATGGTAATATGCTGTAATGCGTCATAACTATCTAACTCATAGATACTAAACTGGAAGCGAGGAAGCTCCTTCCAGTTTTCTCACGCAAGCTTGGATACGCATTACCGGATGAGGAAACACTACGGCCGCCGGTTAAGATGCCATTCAAGTAAGTTCTTCTACGAATAATTCCTTACTTCTTAGCGATATTAAGAAAACGAATGACGACTACCTGTTTGACGCTGTTGATGTGGAGCTTGCAGCTGCACAATCGAGTTGTGTAAATGTTGAATATCGCAAGATAAATATGTTGCGGCAAATTTGTTCATGTACTACAAGGTATGCTAGATTAATGTGATGCACTTCTTCAACAAGCCAACGTGAGTTTATAACGTCATCCCTTGCATTTCGAACGGGCAGCTTACAGTAAGTGGGACCTGCTCCATTAATGTTAGAAACAGCTGTAATTCAGTAGAATTGAAACTGGGTGAAACACTGAAGTTAATTCATGCTCTTTTAAGAGGCATGAAAAAAGTCATAAAGTTAAATTTACAGCTGGTAAATTACGTTGGAGCAAAGGAATGATGTAACCCCCTGGAATTTAACTTCTCACTGGATTCCAAGGAGGTTTAACATGAATTGTTTTTAACGGGAAGCGCATTCAAAGAGATACACGTAAGTCACTTCCATTTGACTTGACTCGTGCAGACTACGAAAACTACACTGAAATTGGTGGATGGGACTTTAGTTCGCTATAATCTAGGTGCAATTTTGAAACCTGAGATAACATTTCAGTATACCCTCCTGGGGAAAAGTTACGAAACCTTGCTGAAGTGTAAATTCTACCGGACCAAGAGATAAGTTTCAATATTTATCTCCTCTCGCTAGCGATAATAAGGTTAAGGTTCGTGGATGCATCAAGGCCAGAGAAGGATGTCGATCGCGACTTGTAAGTAGTTACTCGAAACTAATTACAAAATCTCAGAGACAAGATGATCAGGGGAGGTGAAAGGAAGTCTGCAGGCAGCAGTGTAAGTTTTCTACTTGTTTACAGAAGTGACAAAAATGTCACTGAGGTAACTTAACATTTTGAAATTTCTTACCATTATAACTATCTACCTAAGTGCAAATTATGAATATCATATGCATGGCACATATTAACCCTTTATTTCTCTTAACAGGCTTTCATTTTACCTCAACAGTAGACATCTTTTAAAGTTGATATAGATCTGTTCCGTTATTTTACACAGATTTCCACGTTTTTGTGAAGGAAGTAATTGATTTAACATAAACTGTCTTTCAGAACCAGGTAATCAAGAACGGTATTCAACGTAATTCATGATGATCGATATTATGTACAGTTTTTTAACTAACGACTCACTTAACAAGTCTTGTGAATATGGATGCTTCGTTTTCACTAAATACGTATTTTTTATTCACTTATGACTTTACACATTTCCTTCCTGTGGCAAGTGATAAGCACGGTAATGTTTACAGCGTTGCTTATCCGGTGTAATTAACGCAACACATATAACAGAATTGGTGGCCGGTAGCAGGATGTAATTCCATTTAGGATAGTTTATATGATGTAGCAAAGTGACACGTTTAAAGAGCCTGTTACAGAGTTGTACATGCGGAGAATTATAGGTAAGCATGCATCGTCCCACTAGAGGATACTGTGATTTGTGACGTTATTCCAGTAGAAAGAATTTGTAGAGGATTAAAGTGTATTTGGCGAAGAGCAAATAGACTTTAAGGAGATTTGGGGGAGCCATTTCGGGGGAACTTTGGAAATCTCGCAGTTCGGTGAAAGTGAAGACCAACTGTAGCGCTTTGCCAGAATTTACTCCATTTAAGTAGCTTTTCTCCAAAAATTTCCCCAAAGTGGTATGTTTAAATATACATTCGCAATCGGTAATGATCAAACTAGAAAGAAACAAATCATCTAGCATATCAGTTGGAAAATGGTAGTCCAAACGTATGGTCAGAATTGAGATTGGTTGTGAAATCATGAATCAATCAGAAAACAACTGCATGATGCTTAAGCTCACCTGTTGAGTTCTTTAGCTTCACTTTATTTTGCCACCCATGGTAGAAAGCATCTAGTGTCTCATTGCCATCCTGTGTAGCGTCACTGTGAGAGGAGGAGTCAGAATCTCATCTTCATCGCCTTGTTCGTCAGCACAGGCTCCAGGAGATAACATAACCCGTTAAGGAAGTTAGCCACTTTTTAAAGCGCCAGCTTCAGCTGACCTAAAATGAAGCCTATTGAAACAAAAACTGAGATCTAAGCTTTTTGTTTTTTAGTTCTTGATTCTCGGCTATTCATTTTTGACACCCATAAATCCGTGACAAAGAATTTCTTTTCCGTTGATATATTACGACTTAAAACATTGGATAGGGGCCATACAGAGTGAGTAAGGTACAGACTCACTCTCAGGTCACGCTTGCCTCAGTCATTTAGTTGATTTTCAAATACGTTCTACCTAGTGGCTATCCCATTGAGCGCAGTATCAGCCTAAATGTCACGTTTCCAGCTGTAGGCAGGATGTCTTAGGATACGACAGTTGTTTTTGACAGAATTATGATGTCCAATCATTTTAGTAGTTCTGAAGCATCCCAGGGGGCGTTTTTATAGTTCATTAAGGCACTGTAGCAGGATTAGTCCGGTTCCATGGGCTGGTTATTGCATATTAGGAGGCCCACACTTACTACTTAGTGAAGGTTGGTCAGAGAAACGATAATAACACGGAACTGCGATGCGGATTTGTGATGTATATTTGTACCTTTGGGCATAAAAGGCGTAGTTGATCGGTGGTGTTTGAATGAGAATTGCATGAGCGCTTTCTTTAGTGTTAATTTACATTCCTGGAGATTTAAGTGCATGGAATGCCATTCATCTTCCTGTGTCTAGTGTGTAGACAATGAGCTGGTAGTTTCACGCATCAAAGCAAAACATAGTTATCCTTATGCACTGGAGTTCATGATTGTAGACCCGTGTTGCAGATACTTGCCAGAAGACGAGATAACATATTTGAAGGCTTCAACGGAGTGCATTACTGTGAAATTTGAATTGCGACAGCTTTGACTTCACAAATCTGGTAAATACGATAGTAATGAGGATTTGAAAGAAGCGCAAGCAAATATATATAACGGTATCCTAAATGGATGCGTTAAGTGTTTAATTTCATTGTCTTAGATGGTAAGATCCTAGAACGCATGCTGCAGAGGATCAGAGGTGGAACTGAAGTGCTCACGCGGCGCTCAAACATAAGAATCGATGTAATTTGCTTCAGTCTGGAGGAATAGATGAAAGCTTACCGTAGCTTTCCAGAAGTGATCTGCATGAACTCTGCCTATAAAACAAAGAGGCTGTGGTTAGTGGTATCTCCGCTAATGATCACCATGGAGATGCCATCTTTCCCACTCTGTAGTAACGGATGGTTTAGGCATAGGTAGCTACTTAATGATGGCTTTTTGTCGATGCGATGTAGCTGCAGATGTAGCTGCCATTTTGAGAATGCCTCAGTATATCTTTCGAAATACGGATCAAGCCAAGGTCTTTATTAAGAACAGCCTTCACTGCTTATCATCGGGCTTGGTCGAGTGCTCCAAGGGGAATAGAAGGTTTGTTATGAACGTGCGTACTGTAGTATGCTAATGAAAGAACGTTTGTGACTTCCGACTGTCTTACGAACAGATTCCCTGCGCCTCTGTCAATAGTTTATTTGAAGGAGGCAAGTTAATCGGGTTTAGTCACATCACTGTATAGACATAAACCAACATAGTGGAAGGTGGTTAAGAGAATGCGATGTGAATACGGCTACGGATATACTGAAAAATCTTACATTCGAACCTACACCTGCAGGTAATACATTATTACTGGATGCTGGACTGCTGCAAAGTAGCCACGTACGTTATGGACGTGGAAGAGACTTGCGGTGGGATAGATAACAGTGGCTGAAACCTTTTCAGGCCAAAAATGAATGTGCATTCAACGCTCAAAAGTTGTAAAAGTAACTGCAATTTTCCACACTCAGATTTCTGCCCTATGGCATTGTAGGGTCCCGATGATGCCATCACAATTGGCCATAGAAAACCCACACAGTATTTGTATGGATGAAGTATGGTAAAGGGGAGGAACCACATAACAGTTATTTACCTTCCTTCACAGAAATATGCTGTCTTTGCAGACGGGCTCCCCCTTCCCACAGAAGGTACATTTGCTTTCACTACAGTACAACAATTATAGAACGGCGGATAAAATCAGCTCAAAGCAGCACACAACTGCATCGGTCCAGGTTACCCCACTTTGTAGTGACATGAAAAGAACTGGTGGATGGCATAAGATTGATATTAAAAAACTGGTCAGAATAGGCAGCCTCTTCACCTCCAACGGCACTGTATCGGCTGAAAAACAGGATGTAATGGACTGTAGCGCAGCATAGCCGTCCTTCTATGGGCGGTCAGGCATCTCACCGGCGCCAGAGGTGGCGCGACTTAGCGAATGCCAAACAAGCCTTGGGAACCAGAATCCAGCCGGTTGGAGTGGATGCGTCTCCCCAAGTGGGTGAAGCGGTCAACGTATTTAGCTACTTGTCCTTCGATCCTTAAATTTGGAACACTTGTAAATGAATCCTTGGGGGTAATTTTGCATTCAACAGGTGCTGAACTCATCCCAGACACACTTAACTTTCTGCCCAATGGGTTAAGTAGGTTGAGTTTTGCCGGATTCTTTATCTGACAGAAGTGTTTTACGCATTCCAGGTCAGCTAGGTGCCCTCTGGGGAGTAGGCCGATTCCTGTGGATTCAGAGATACCTTAAGTTATGTCGATTGTGAAATTTATGATATTAGACAGGGGCAGTAATTATAGATATTTCTGGCCCTCACCACCGTTCGCCATGAGTTCAGGTTGAAACTCTCTATCTGCCCTTGAACGGCTGTGTGAGTTCAAGCAAAGAACTTTGATTAGCGTTTCATACTTTCTGACACTTCCTTCGCAGTCATGCACTGGACGGCACCTCATGGTCTACACAGTTGAGTGCCGCCTTCATGTCTAGAAAAATAGTGCGTTTCAGTCATGAATAAGTATGGCTATGCTTTTTAGCTTGCTGAGGGGTAAAGATCTGGTCGGTGAACGGTAATCCAAGTCTGAAGGCAGAGCGGTTTCCTTGAGTTTGCTGTTCTCAATCTTCAGCAGGATATTGGATAATCTTATACCCTAAAATCTAGGACGTTATGTTTATCAAACTTATTCATCCACGGTTGTCAGAAGTCAGAAGAAGACTTTCCTCCCTTCTTGTTTACTGGAATGACCAACGGAGAAGACTAGTCAGAGGGGACTAACTCTGACTCCCCGGGGGCCACAAAGCACCTCCGTTACTCTACTGGATAACCCTCTACTTCCTTCATTGAGAAATTCTAGTTGCAAACCATCAGGTGCTGCTGCTTCATGTTGTTTTGGGTTGAAAACAGCTTTCTCAACTCCAGAGAGATTTTCTATGCAGGTTTGAGCTGGGTTTCTACAACGGAATGAACATCGCCCTGAGACTCATCAAGATATAAACTGCTGCCATATTCATATCCTTAGCTATCCCCCCTGAAACACGTATTTCACGTCCCCATCCCCCAATGGAACGCAGGTAGGCTCCACCAATGACTGTTTTTTATGACCAGCGGGTTGCGATTGTACACATGCCTGCAATAACGTATAGTTGGGGTTCAAACAGGTACCTCGGAGAGAGTGGGAGTTCTCCGCCGATCCTCTACAGCGGTGGCCCATAACAGTATGTTTTCCCTGCGTCTATCAGTGATTTCGTATCGACCGAGACAATGTCTGTCTCCTTATGCCCGAATTCGGTGGTGGCCAGAAATGAGTGATAAGTGGAGCAAAGTTGCAACGAACAAACATCATTGTCAATTCGCTGGGATGGCATTTCGTGGACACTTCCAACACCCCTTTTTACCGGGCTCAGTTTTCTTAACTGAGCTTAAGTTATCCGCCATTGTGATTATATCCGAGCGATTTGCACTATACACAAAATTTGGCAGCTTCTGACTTAATTCATTGTCTGCATCATCCAGACTGCAGCCGATGGGCTCTTGAGCGAAGACGATGAATAGGCATCGGTTGGTCTCGTGATCCTTCCCAGTTTTACAGATGCATTCAGTCTGACAACACGCGAGTGGCTACTAACTGATACCGGGTCAAGGCTTGCGCTTTCCATGCTTCAGCTTAGTGTTATGCTTACACTGGCTAGTCCATGAGAGCTAGCCACTGAACCACTGAACACCCATAAAGTGAAGTTCGCGGAATCACCACATTGGTCGTGTGGGACCAATCGGATGGCTATGTTCGGGCCTTTTGTATGTGTCTCAGAAACATGACGTCCATTTCTGACTTCGGATAATGTCTACTGTCTGACTTGGCACAGGGTTCACATATTGAGTGCTGCAACGTGGAACCGACAGTGGGTTTTCCCGAGAATGGGAATTCGGTTCTTATGGTTTATATTATCAGCAGTGGTCACACAGTAAGGGGCTGTCCATCTTGCAAGGGACTTGATATTGATATCAGAAGGTGAAGGAAAAGCAGGAGGTCAAAGCAAAGGGGGTAGCTGTTAGTTGATCGGACCTTGTATAATAAGCTAACAGTGTTTTATTACTGTAAGAACATATTATCTTAAAACATATGGTTGTTAAGTATTGCACGTAAGCTCATGTACAAATTTTTGTTCGATTTTACTGTCTCCCAGGTATTAACGGTCCCCACGTGTAGCAGAAACAGCAATGTACAGGATACGGTCAACGCACACAAAGGATAGTTTTGTGATTTATGAGATTGTGGGATTTCGCAAGTTATTTTGAAGGAGGTGTAAGTGCAATAAGAGGCTGTTGGGTGTTGAACCTTAAACAGCAAACAAATTATCGACAGTGGAACCAAGTAATGCTTGTCAGCATGAGATAAATCACGGTTATTTCAGTGATGGAAACGATTATTTTCATGGTAGGCAGATACATACTACTGATACCGCGGCACCACGATCTTGGTACTACTTATGTTGTCTCTGAAGAGCATGCTGCTGGTTGACGCTTCCCTGCTGCCCAAGTTGCGGAAGTTGTTTCTGCAGTG